TCTAAAGCAAGAATAAAACATATTCCACTTACTTTAAGAGGGGTCTTCTATCTCTGCTATTTTTATACAGTTCATTTCATAGAACCAAAGAAACCAATAAAGATGATTTATTGATTATTTTTGTTGATCAAAGATCTTATTTCAAAATGATCTTTTCAGAGATATTTTTCAGCTGGAATTACTATAAAAAGTATTGATAGCTAGTACTACTAGTTGCTCCAGCAGTGTTTACCAGCAGTTGCTTAATAAAAACAATTCTATGTATTCTGTCATCATAAATGTGTACTGACAGTAACTAATAATTTTGTTTTAGACAGCACTGGATCTCGGTTTTCTGTCCAATATTTTTCTGAAAGTGTTAGAGTGAAATTTAATACATTAGAAGTCTATTCCTTTAACTCAATCATATTGATAAAACATTTATTGTAGAAAATTTTTTTTTGTGTGTTGTTCTGAAATATTTCACTTTCCCAGTGACTTTTTTGGTTAGATTCAGAAATAAATTATCAGTAGAAATACATTGTCAGAAACAAAAAGTGATTGAAAATTAATAAACTGATAACTTAGAAAAAGATTATTTTATAATAAATTTATTTTACATTTTATATAGGCTGATATTCAGAATTTCACAGATGAAGAATTATTAATTTTACTGAAAAATAAAAAGTTGTCCCTTCACAAACTGGAGAACGATCTTGGAAATTGTGAACGTGCCGTCGTCGTTCGGAGAAAATTTATTTCTAAATTAGTAAATTGTGAAGATGCATTAAATGAGCTTCCTTTTACAAATTATAATTATGAAATGGTAAGTTTTTCTCCCCCCAAAAATAATCTAAATAATCTATTTATGTAAAATTTAGAGTTTAATTTAAGGAATTAATTTCTTAGTTTTATTTTAAAATGTAAGAGCTTAAAAGAAATCTGAGTTAAAATATAAAAAATGTACAACTTACAGAAAAAATATTAATCTTGTTATATAAAAATACAATATAGTTAATTTAGAAATTTCTAATTAGAAGCATTTGACTCTATAGTTTTGAAATTTTTAGAAGCAAGTGAACTGCTGAATTATTGGATTCAAATTTCCAGAATGTTCAAAGTTAGTCGTTTAAAGTACGAGGTACCACTGTATGTTTTGCTGTAGTAAATATCACATCTTACAAATTATAGATAAAATACTCTTGAAATGATTGATTTCTGAATTAACAGAAATAGAATTACGAGAGAAGTATGAATTATCTTCCAAATTATCTTCCAAATTAATTTTCATAAAACATTAAAATCAGTAAATTTATTACAATGTGAGGTGGTGAAAAAGTAATTTTACACAAGCCATATCAAACAAAGAACAAGACAAATACTTCTATGGTAGAAAAGAAAACATATCAGATTTATCTGTTGAGGATGTACTGAATTCTTTTGATATTTTTAAGAATTTAAAAAATTTTATAAAGGACTTTTTGGAATAGAAAGGCTTTATTAATTAATATCTTTTTGAAAGTCTTTAAAAACACTTATTCTGATATGAAAATCCTTGATTATCAGGACTTTCTGGAGGAACCTTTGTCTCTTCAACTTAGTTGTTTTAAATAATTAGCTAGTTTAGATTCTTTAGTAATGTGACAATGCCGAAGGGCCTCCCTATACTTCGGCACCACGTGACCGAAGGGGCGACATCGCGTCGGCGAAGATCTCAATGACAGGTTCCGTCAGGACTGACACCACTGTGTCTTCACGGCTAGACACAGAAACCGTTTCGTTCGGGCGTGAGCGGTCGCGTGTGTGAGTGATCAAAGTCGAGATAGAAGGAAAGACAGCGCACCGGAAGTGATTAGACTAGTAGGCTAGATTAACATAACAAATGTTTAATGGGTAATGATAGGGAATACATATCTTACAATATGTTGCCCATAAAGTTCGATAGTAAAGTTAACTGAGCGTTCTCGAGAGAGAGAGTTTACAATTCATACGCATGGCGATAAATACCTTTTTTTGATATCTTGATCTGGATCCAGTCGGTAAGACAGAAAGTTCGGGAAGGTAGTGTTAAGTCCAATAGTCCAATAGTTCTTTTCCCTTGATATTAGACGATTCTTGATATTCACAAGCGAAGAAGTATCCCAAGGAGCACAGATATTATGTAGAAGTAATCTGATGGAAGAACTGGCGACGACTGACTCACTTTGTTCTTGTCTAATGTTGAATTGTTAAAATTGCGATACTAGGTCGAAAGGTGATGAGAAAGCGTCTTTATTAGACCTGAGAACTTAACAGATGTTTAACTTCCAGGTGTAACAGTTGACAGTTATTGAACGAAAGTATAGCTGCACTGTGATCTTATGACACTATTGAATGAAAGGATATAAACACACGGAAAGTCTGAATTCAGATCCTCACAGTAATCTTTTAATTAGTTCTCTTAAATCTTCTTTAAATTAATGTGTTTAGCTATTTGAGAGATTATCAGAACCTCTTTAAATATAGCTTTTATAAGAAAAATTATAGCTATATTTAATAAAAATAGTTGTGCCGTGTTCAGTTCATTATGACATATATGAAAATTATTTGTAATAATTTTATAAAGACGAATGCTTGTTTTTCAAATAATAATTGTAATATAAAAATAATAGATATAATCCAGTTATAATTTTATTATTTATCTGCTGATGAGAAATGAAAATAATGAAAACAAATCAAAACATTTTTGAAAATTTTAAATTATCTTTTAATTTTAATATTGTGATTTTTTTTATACTTGTTTAAAGTTCAGTATGATCTTGGAAATCTGACGTATAAGTCCAGAACAGTGTTGGACTATTGGATGTTTATACATTTTGATAAATTAATGATTTAAACACAATAAAAATATGATGAAATATGACTACAATTGACATAATTAAATAATTGAGTACATAAATGAATTTAACATGAAGTCAATTGCTAATGCAATGAAAGAAGTTGGATTATTGATCAAAATATTTGAATGTGCTGTTATTGCCAAGTTGATGGATTCAACTAAATTTAGTAGGAGATACAGTATTTTTGGTGAAAAATTCTGAAAGACTAATTTTTATAGTTATGTAGTATTGTTTTCTTTTATAGTGAGCCCAACAATGTTTAATATCGTGCCCAAGCTCGGGTTTGATATCATTCCATGTTTAGTAGAAAAATGGTCAAATTTAGCAAGAACTAGCATTTTCACTAGCAGAAAGCTTGTCTATGGTTTGACTGCAGTACCGATAATACCTGAGAGTCTAATGTCAGATTATTGGACATGCCAAATTAACATGTGATTGGATTATTGAGATTGTACCATATATTTGCTTTAAAACTAAAGCAAATCATACACTTTTAACATTTGTTAACAGTTTATGGAAATGCAAATGTTCTTTACACAGTTAATTGGCCATCTTTTGCTGTAAAAGAATGTAAGAGGACTGTCAAATGTCTTTTATGTCTAAAGATGGCCTGTTGACCAATTCAAAACTGGAAACTGTTATATATTGTCAAAGATGTACAGTTTGATTTGTTAAGTTAATTGCTGTGGCTAGTTTGACTTAGTAGAAATTTTGTAATATAAATTTGCAATAAATTAATATTTTGTAAAAGTTTAAACTAATCTTTTTATTTTTAAATTGTTAAATAGGTAATGGGTGTCTGCTGTGAAAATGTAATTGGATATATGCCACTTCCAGTGGGAATTGCAGGACCTTTGTTGCTAGATGGAAAGAATTATTACATTCCAATGGCAACGACAGAAGGTTGCTTGGTTGCCAGCACTAACAGGGGATGTCGTGCAATTAGTGTAAGAGAACTTTATTAAATTTCTTCTGATGATTGATAAATTAATATAGTTTTATTTATCTTTAATGATGAGTCTGTTAAAAATTGAATTATGTATCTATAATACAGTGATGGACAGCATGCCAATCGTTTAATAGAAGAAACTTTTAACATATACACATTAAATTACAAATAAATGTCGCTAAATCGACAAGCACTTTTGATGATAATTATTTTCATCTTCATCAGGTCATTAAAACATTTAAAATCCTTTTTTGAATACAAATAACAAATTGTTCCAAGCGTATTAACATTTTGGAATTAGAGCAACGATAGAAATCTTGTGTATATTTGGGAAGCCCTTCTTACCAACATATTAAAACCCTGCAGCACCCCCACACTTGATTTGCCCCCTTTGTGGATCAATTTGTATAACCATCTAAAACAACGTATCTAGCTCCACAATTTGGAGGCGTTTAACACATGCGACTTATAACCACGCGTGTTTTCATTTAAAAATTGTTTTATGTTCTACCGTTGCTCTCATTCCAAAACGTTAATACACTTGGAATGATTTGTTATTTGTATTCAAAAAAAGATTTTAAATGTTTTAACGACCTGATGAAGACAAAAATAATTATCGTCGAAAGTACTTGTAGATTTAGCGCCATTTATTTGTAATTTAACGCGTATATGTTAAAAGTTTCTTCTATTGAATTATGTATTCTGTCAACATAAATTATTAATATCGTTAGCTCTTATTATTGAATTATAAAAGTAATGTTTTAATACCTATGTGTTTATGCAGAGGATTGTGTCTGTTATGCCTATATTATATGCATAATAGACAAAACAACTAATCTTTTTAACATAATATATGTTAACAAGATTACTGATAATGTAATTTGTTAATTTGCTTGAAGACATTCCAGAATGAAAACAGAAAAACAAATGTTTGTTTTAGAAGTAACATTTGGGTATAAAGGAGTTTTTTAATGTGTTGTTTAATGTGTTGTTTGTATGTATGTGGATCGGTAGTGATATTTGTATAGTGCAGAGTAGTGAAAGTTGTATAGATGTGTTAAACTGTATAAAATTTTATAATTTGCAGGTGGTTTAAAAATTACAAAATTTATAATCAAGTTAAAATATGAAANTTATGTTTAGTTGTTTTAAAGTTTTTAATATTTTTTATTACAATTGTTTTTATAATAATAATTTACTATATTATATTAGTAAGCTGGCCATTAACAAAGCAGGAATATCAAGGAAGAAATCCATACGTATCGTCATCACCATCTTATTTGTCACATCTGTATGCAAGTAGGTCGTTGTCATTTACGCTGGATGACAACAAAGAAACTGTGATTACTCATTTTAAAATAGATAAGGAAGTTCAGACAGAAGAAAATAGCAATTTAAACAAAATTGAAAATATGAACAATCAACTATCAGAGCCTCGCACTTTGGACGAATGCTTGAGATTATTAGATCTGAAGGTGAGATACAATGTTATTAACTGTTTTAGAAATCTTTTATTATTTATTAATACTATTTTAAATTACATGATTAAAGTCTGAAGACTAGAGATTATTACCTCCAATAATGAGATCCCTGATAAAACCTAATAAATAACAATGCAAAAATACAATAAAACATCGGGTTTCTTAATCTAGCATTTGATTCAACTCACAGTGCCAATTTTGCTTATCAGAAGTGGCCCACTTGACACATGCATCATGAAAATTGTTTGGGTCAGATAAACCAGAATTCTCCCCCATTTAAAGTTTGAGAATAACTTGAGGTCATTTCATCCCTAAGGCCTCTAATTATTTGCTTTACAATAAAGCATATAAAGAATATCCTAGGACAATGTCCATGCTCTCTAGTGCAACTGAGCATACCTAACAGAATTTAGACATGACTTTGTTGTATCATGATAGAATTGAGGTGGAGCTAGAAGGAAAGAAGTTCAGATGTATGCAGACAGGTAAACTTTGCACTTGCTGCCACAAAAAAAAAAAAAAAAAAATTTTTTGTACTTGCTGGCCATGGGAGAAGCAATCCTTGCTCTGGTTGGGTACAGAGAGACTATCCTTGCACTTGCCAACACAAAGATGTGATCCAAGAACAAAGCAATTGCTCTTGTGTTTTGTTTATTTTTCACGCCTATTTTTCAGTAAGTGCACACAATGTTATTTTTATTGTTTACCCTACGTTTAAATTCTGTTAGGTATGCTCAGTTGCACTAGAGAGCATGGACATTGTCACTTTAATACCTCTGTGCATTGAAAATGAAGTCATAGACTCCTATTTTTTTACATTTAAATTGGCCCTTATTGCATTTTTGTACTCCTCATCATAATTAATGGAAAATGGCAAAGTTTTATCAAAATTGTCCCATTAGATTTTGAGAAGAAACTCAATTTTATGAGCCAGGGGAACTCGTACATTGAGGCGCTTGAGACATGTGACCCTCCCTATGTCGTCAGGTTGCCTTTTTCTTAATCCCTAATGGAACTCTAATATTTCATTTTATTTTTAAATTAGTTACTCAGTTTTACAGAAAACTTTTTTACTGATGACAAAATGAAAATATTTGTTATTAAACAAAAATTTGTTCTAGTGGTTTGTGATTATTTGGTAGAGTACCAAGGTACCAGTGTATTTGATATACACGATAAGCATCAAGGGATTAATTAACTGAGTTGATCAAGGAATATCTGTGTGTATATATATACAGATCTATGTACAGTAGAGCATCGATTATTCAAAACAATTCAGGACTGGGGGTGTTTGGATAACTGATCATTTATGAAAAAATATATTAAACACAAAACTGTACTGTATATATTTTGTATCACACGTCTTACAAATACGTACTTTACATAAGTAGTACATTAAAGTATACCTGCAGTTTAGGAAAAGAAGTCCAAAATTGTCTTTTTCTTCACAGCCAAGACTCATTTTTTTTGCCACTAAATCTTGCAATGTTTTAAAGACGTCAATTGGACAGCATCACATTCTTCTTGCTGTTCTAACCACTTCATAGCTGTCTCAAGTCAGTGAAAAGCTTTCTCACTGGATGGTCCTTTTTCATCTTGGTCATCATTGCTATACTCTTTCTCATTGTCACAAGGGTCTTGGTCGTCAATGACACTGGCTTGTTTTCACCATCCAACAATACTTGATAGCCAAGGTCATCGACATCACATTCAAGCCAATCTTGAATGTTTTCCTTGTCACATTCTTCAAATCCAGAACATTCTTTAATCAGTCCAAACAGTTGTGATACAAATTGGCTATTTGGTGACTCTTCAGGTGCAGTGATAGACTTATCTGATGGTAGGAGCTTATTCCAAGCTGTTGCCAGTGTAGTGTCATTGACAGTAGCCCGAGCTTCTGCTGCCATGTACACAGCATCCTTCAAGTTAATTTCAGTGTACATTTGCTAAATTGTTTTTTCATATTTTTCCCCAATCATTACCATATGCAGCAATGCCTTTCTGTAATAACATTTGAAGCATTCAATGACCCCATGGTCCATTGGTTGGAAAAATCAAGTAATGTTGGGAGGCAAGAAAACAACTTTAAACTTTCCGTTTTCTCTTTCCAGTGAAATGTTTGAGGGATGACTTGGGGTGTTATTGATCAACAACAAAATATTTTCAGAATTCCCAGTTTTAAGCTGATGCTTTTTAACTTCAGGATAAATATAGTGTCATATCATTCTATAAAAATGTTTGCATCCATCCATGAATTCTTTTGATTTTTGTAGGAGACTGGCAATTTTTTTATTCCCTTAAAGCACTGCGGATTTTTAGACTTTCCTATGATTAGCAAAGGTAGCCTGTGTGTTCCAGTAACATTTCTGCATACCATAACAGTGATGGATGATTTGCTTGCCTTAAAACCAGGTGTTGACATTTCATTCTTAGAAACTAGGGATTTTGTTGGCAGTTTCTTCCAATACAAACCAGTTTCATCTGCATTGTAGACATTGGTTTTTTTTTGTAGCTCTCCTTATCAATCATGTTTTTAAAAGATTCTTTCAAATGTTCAGCTGCTCCAGTATCAGCCGAAAGTTTGTCACACTGGATGTCCAATTCCCTAATTCCATGCCTAGATTTGAAATGCATAAGCCAGCTGGTAGTTGCTTTAAAATCACTGTTACCCCCTAGTTTCTTGTTCATTTCAAGAGCTTTTTCACAAATCAAAAGGCACTTATTGGTTGTTTTTGGCTACATACCTGCATGAATCATGTGTAAACTGCAGTGTTTAAATCCTGGTTTCTGTCATTTTCATCGTTTTTCTGTGCTAGCTTCTGTCTTCACTGTCAAGTACATTCGCAAATTTTTTAATGGCATCACTATTCTTTTTAATGTCTGATGTTATGGCATATCCAACTCCATATTCCTAAGCTTGATTTTACTAGCACCACTCTTCAACTGGTCTATTATTTTAAGTTTATTGAAAACACAGAGAACAATGCATTTATGTTTAGTCGCTATTGTGAACAGTACACTACAGTACATACAGCATGATCTGTTACAAGTGTGGAATTCACAGACCCAAAATTAATATCTCCAATGAAAATGGATTCTGATTCCATCCTCTATACATGCAGGACACACTTGTCATCAGAAAAACACCACACAAAACAAGCAAACTCACCACTCCACACAAGGGGGAAAAAGCCTTGTTCAAATACTGGTGCATCCTTAAGTACCCTCTCATGGTCATGCCAGTGCTGCTAGCTAAAAAATGCACACCAACAAAAATAATGTTGGAGTAGACCAAGACATAGCCAAATATTGCAGCGCCACAGCACTAGTGGAAATTTGAATTTGCCGACTAGAACATTATCAGTTAACCAATGTTTAGGATGATCAGTATTCGGATAATCAATGCTCTACTGTACATAGATCTGTGTGTGTGTATATATATATATATATATATATATATACACTGTCAGATCTATGTATCAGTCAGTCCATAAGTTCGTGTGCATTTTTATTACAAAAAAAGCAACAAAAAATTTTAATTAAATCTTATTTCAATCTATAATGTATTCACTATTATTTTGTACAATTTCTTGCCATCTTGATGGTAGCTTTTTAATCCCGTCTTTGTAAAATGATTTCGGTTTTGAATCAAAATATTCAGAAATAGCCTTTTTTACATTGTTCTCATCCTCAAAAGTTTTTCCTTTTAAAAAATTCTGCAAACTCCGAAAAAGATGATAATCACTGGGAGCAATATCTGGCAAATATGGTGGATGAGGTAAAATTTCCCAGTTGAAGCTTTGGAGTTGAGCAGTTGACGTTGTTGTCAGTTAGCTATTGACAGTTCATGTGGTATCCATTTTCCTAGCTTTGAAACTTTTCCGATTTGTTGTAGATGTCTATGAACAGTTCCATGGGATGAATTTAAACGTTCCGCAATTTCATCAACTGTTAAAGATGGTTCTGCTTCAACTAGTGCAGAGAGAGCATCATCATCAAAGTCAACGGGTCTTCCAGTACGAGCCTTATCCTCCACACTAAAATCATTATTTCTAAATCTTTCAAACCACTTCTGCGCAGTCCTTACACTAATTACAGTTTGATTATGAACAGTATTTAATTTTTTGGCTGCATTTGTAGCATTCTCATCACTTAAAAATAAAAAGTATAAAACATGTCTCTTATATTCATCTGTTACTTCCATTTTAACGAAAATAAACAACTAAAATGTTCCCAATTCTGAACAGTATTATATGAATGAGATCCAATTTAACACTTCAGTGTAAAAGGTATCACATTAGACTGGCATTTTTAATAGCAAAACAAGATTTTTCTCAAGGTAATAAAATATGCACGAACTTATGGACTGACCTGATATATACATATATATATACAGATATTACTTGATTAACACAGTTAATTAAGTAATTGTGCTATTGTGTATATCAAATACACTGGTACCTTGTGGCCATCATGACCCACTAGAACAAATTTTCGGTTAATAACAAATATTTTCATTTTGTCATTGGTAAAAAGTTTTCTGTGATAAAAATGAGTAACTAATATATATATACAATGTCTTTTTTATAGCTTGTGTCCCTTTTTTGTAGTTTGCAGGTACCGCTGCTGTAACCCCATAGAAGACATGCTAGTGACCATGGAACATTGCCCAACGAAGTCATGCAATTCATGTGATATTGCTTTATCATGCACGCTTGTGCTATGAGCTTATATCTCAAAGACAAAGTCATGGGCCCCTATTTTTTATTATGTTTTTGGATTCCTCATTGCAATTAATGGAAAATGGCAAAGTTTAATCAAAATTGATTGAACAGAGAACAAACAGAATTCTGTAAGCCATGCAGAAGAGGATTTGCTAATGTTTAAAACAGCATACTTTTAAATTTACATAATGTTTAATATGTGCATGGAGCACCAATCAATGTGGAGGATGATATACTTATATAAAATTTTATGGTTGAAACTATTTGAAGAATCATCCCCTGAAATTTTTTACATAAAAAATTGAATCACCCTGTTTATAGATAAAAGTGCAGCAAGACATTTATAGATACACTATTTATACACACAGAAAGGAAAATAAAAGTATAAACAGCAGCACTAGAAATCAATGAATCATTTCAAAATTTTTATTACAAATGGTCTATATTGGGAATAAGGGGCAAGTCTTATGGGACTGACTAATGAGCAAAGTAAGCAGAGAGCAAATCTCCCTAGTATCTATATAACTATATATTTTAATTAGAAAATTTCTGATAAATATTTATAAAATTATGAAAAACTTCGGTATTATTAATAAAATATTCATTATATATTTATTCATTCATACCTTATTCATTATATTCTTATTCAATACAATATTCATTATATATTTTCTGTTATGATGAAACCATTTGAATTTTGTTGGTATAACAATATACATAATATATAAATGTTGAAAATTGCAAAGGTTTCAAAGACATTTTTATCCATATTCATTGTATTCCTGTCAGATGTAATGCCATGTTATACTCTTACAGATTAATTTTGATGATACTGATATAATTTTTTTTTATCTAAAGCAAGAATAAAACATATTCCACTTACTTTAAGAGGGGTCTTCTATCTCTGCTATTTTTATACAGTTCATTTCATAGAACCAAAGAAACCAATAAAGATGATTTATTGATTATTTTTGTTGATCAAAGATCTTATTTCAAAATGATCTTTTCAGAGATATTTTTCAGCTGGAATTACTATAAAAAGTATTGATAGCTAGTACTACTAGTTGCTCCAGCAGTGTTTACCAGCAGTTGCTTAATAAAAACAATTCTATGTATTCTGTCATCATAAATGTGTACTGACAGTAACTAATAATTTTGTTTTAGACAGCACTGGATCTCGGTTTTCTGTCCAATATTTTTCTGAAAGTGTTAGAGTGAAATTTAATACATTAGAAGTCTATTCCTTTAACTCAATCATATTGATAAAACATTTATTATAGAAAATTTTTTTTTGTGTGTTGTTCTGAAATATTTCACTTTCCCAGTGACTTTTTTGGTTAGATTCAGAAATAAATTATCAGTAGAAATACATTGTCAGAAACAAAAAGTGATTGAAAATTAATAAACTGATAACTTAGAAAAAGATTATTTTATAATAAATTTATTTTACATTTTATATAGGCTGATATTCAGAATTTCACAGATGAAGAATTATTAATTTTACTGAAAAATAAAAAGTTGTCCCTTCACAAACTGGAGAACGATCTTGGAAATTGTGAACGTGCCGTCGTCGTTCGGAGAAAATTTATTTCTAAATTAGTAAATTGTGAAGATGCATTAAATGAGCTTCCTTTTACAAATTATAATTATGAAATGGTAAGTTTTTCTCCCCCCAAAAATAATCTAAATAATCTATTTATGTAAAATTTAGAGTTTAATTTAAGGAATTAATTTCTTAGTTTTATTTTAAAATGTAAGAGCTTAAAAGAAATCTGAGTTAAAATATAAAAAATGTACAACTTACAGAAAAAATATTAATCTTGTTATATAAAAATACAATATAGTTAATTTAGAAATTTCTAATTAGAAGCATTTGACTCTATAGTTTTGAAATTTTTAGAAGCAAGTGAACTGCTGAATTATTGGATTCAAATTTCCAGAATGTTCAAAGTTAGTCGTTTAAAGTACGAGGTACCACTGTATGTTTTGCTGTAGTAAATATCACATCTTACAAATTATAGATAAAATACTCTTGAAATGATTGATTTCTGAATTAACAGAAATAGAATTACGAGAGAAGTATGAATTATCTTCCAAATTAATTTTCATAAAACATTAAAATCAGTAAATTTATTACAATGTGAGGTGGTGAAAAAGTAATTTTACACAAGCCATATCAAACAAAGAACAAGACAAATACTTCTATGGTAGAAAAGAAAACATATCAGATTTATCTGTTGAGGATGTACTGAATTCTTTTGATATTTTTAAGAATTTAAAAAATTTTATAAAGGACTTTTTGGAATAGAAAGGCTTTATTAATTAATATCTTTTTGAAAGTCTTTAAAAACACTTATTCTGATATGAAAATCCTTGATTATCAGGACTTTCTGGAGGAACCTTTGTCTCTTCAACTTAGTTGTTTTAAATAATTAGCTAGTTTAGATTCTTTAGTAATGTGACAATGCCGAAGGGCCTCCCTATACTTCGGCACCACGTGACCGAAGGGGCGACATCGCGTCGGCGAAGATCTCAATGACAGGTTCCGTCAGGACTGACACCACTGTGTCTTCACGGCTAGACACAGAAACCGTTTCGTTCGGGCGTGAGCGGTCGCGTGTGTGAGTGATCAAAGTCGAGATAGAAGGAAAGACAGCGCACCGGAAGTGATTAGACTAGTAGGCTAGATTAACATAACAAATGTTTAATGGGTAATGATAGGGAATACATATCTTACAATATGTTGCCCATAAAGTTCGATAGTAAAGTTAACTGAGCGTTCTCGAGAGAGAGAGTTTACAATTCATACGCATGGCGATAAATACCTTTTTTTGATATCTTGATCTGGATCCAGTCGGTAAGACAGAAAGTTCGGGAAGGTAGTGTTAAGTCCAATAGTCCAATAGTTCTTTTCCCTTGATATTAGACGATTCTTGATATTCACAAGCGAAGAAGTATCCCAAGGAGCACAGATATTATGTAGAAGTAATCTGATGGAAGAACTGGCGACGACTGACTCACTTTGTTCTTGTCTAATGTTGAATTGTTAAAATTGCGATACTAGGTCGAAAGGTGATGAGAAAGCGTCTTTATTAGACCTGAGAACTTAACAGATGTTTAACTTCCAGGTGTAACAGTTGACAGTTATTGAACGAAAGTATAGCTGCACTGTGATCTTATGACACTATTGAATGAAAGGATATAAACACACGGAAAGTCTGAATTCAGATCCTCACAGTAATCTTTTAATTAGTTCTCTTAAATCTTCTTTAAATTAATGTGTTTAGCTATTTGAGAGATTATCAGAACCTCTTTAAATATAGCTTTTATAAGAAAAATTATAGCTATATTTAATAAAAATAGTTGTGCCGTGTTCAGTTCATTATGACATATATGAAAATTATTTGTAATAATTTTATAAAGACGAATGCTTGTTTTTCAAATAATAATTGTAATATAAAAATAATAGATATAATCCAGTTATAATTTTATTATTTATCTGCTGATGAGAAATGAAAATAATGAAAACAAATCAAAACATTTTTGAAAATTTTAAATTATCTTTTAATTTTAATATTGTGATTTTTTTTATACTTGTTTAAAGTTCAGTATGATCTTGGAAATCTGACGTATAAGTCCAGAACAGTGTTGGACTATTGGATGTTTATACATTTTGATAAATTAATGATTTAAACACAATAAAAATATGATGAAATATGACTACAATTGACATAATTAAATAATTGAGTACATAAATGAATTTAACATGAAGTCAATTGCTAATGCAATGAAAGAAGTTGGATTATTGATCAAAATATTTGAATGTGCTGTTATTGCCAAGTTGATGGATTCAACTAAATTTAGTAGGAGATACAGTATTTTTGGTGAAAAATTCTGAAAGACTAATTTTTATAGTTATGTAGTATTGTTTTCTTTTATAGTGAGCCCAACAATGTTTAATATCGTGCCCAAGCTCGGGTTTGATATCATTCCATGTTTAGTAGAAAAATGGTCAAATTTAGCAAGAACTAGCATTTTCACTAGCAGAAAGCTTGTCTATGGTTTGACTGCAGTACCGATAATACCTGAGAGTCTAATGTCAGATTATTGGACATGCCAAATTAACATGTGATTGGATTATTGAGATTGTACCATATATTTGCTTTAAAACTAAAGCAAATCATACACTTTTAACATTTGTTAACAGTTTATGGAAATGCAAATGTTCTTTACACAGTTAATTGGCCATCTTTTGCTGTAAAAGAATGTAAGAGGACTGTCAAATGTCTTTTATGTCTAAAGATGGCCTGTTGACCAATTCAAAACTGGAAACTGTTATATATTGTCAAAGATGTACAGTTTGATTTGTTAAGTTAATTGCTGTGGCTAGTTTGACTTAGTAGAAATTTTGTAATATAAATTTGCAATAAATTAATATTTTGTAAAAGTTTAAACTAATCTTTTTATTTTTAAATTGTTAAATAGGTAATGGGTGTCTGCTGTGAAAATGTAATTGGATATATGCCACTTCCAGTGGGAATTGCAGGACCTTTGTTGCTAGATGGAAAGAATTATTACATTCCAATGGCAACGACAGAAGGTTGCTTGGTTGCCAGCACTAACAGGGGATGTCGTGCAATTAGTGTAAGAGAACTTTATTAAATTTCTTCTGATGATTGATAAATTAATATAGTTTTATTTATCTTTAATGATGAGTCTGTTAAAAATTGAATTATGTATCTATAATACAGTGATGGACAGCATGCCAATCGTTTAATAGAAGAAACTTTTAACATATACACATTAAATTACAAATAAATGTCGCTAAATCGACAAGCACTTTTGATGATAATTATTTTCATCTTCATCAGGTCATTAAAACATTTAAAATCCTTTTTTGAATACAAATAACAAATTGTTCCAAGCGTATTAACATTTTGGAATTAGAGCAACGATAGAAATCTTGTGTATATTTGGGAAGCCCTTCTTACCAACATATTAAAACCCTGCAGCACCCCCACACTTGATTTGCCCCCTTTGTGGATCAATTTGTATAACCATCTAAAACAACGTATCTAGCTCCACAATTTGGAGGCGTTTAACACATGCGACTTATAACCACGCGTGTTTTCATTTAAAAATTGTTTTATGTTCTACCGTTGCTCTCATTCCAAAACGTTAATACACTTGGAATGATTTGTTATTTGTATTCAAAAAAAGATTTTAAATGTTTTAACGACCTGATGAAGACAAAAATAATTATCGTCGAAAGTACTTGTAGATTTAGCGCCATTTATTTGTAATTTAACGCGTATATGTTAAAAGTTTCTTCTATTGAATTATGTATTCTGTCAACATAAATTATTAATATCGTTAGCTCTTATTATTGAATTATAAAAGTAATGTTTTAATACCTATGTGTTTATGCAGAGGATTGTGTCTGTTATGCCTATATTATATGCATAATAGACAAAACAACTAATCTTTTTAACATAATATATGTTAACAAGATTACTGATAATGTAATTTGTTAATTTGCTTGAAGACATTCCAGAATGAAAACAGAAAAACAAATGTTTGTTTTAGAAGTAACATTTGGGTATAAAGGAGTTTTTTAATGTGTTGTTTAATGTGTTGTTTGTATGTATGTGGATCGGTAGTGATATTTGTATAGTGCAGAGTAGTGAAAGTTGTATAGATGTGTTAAACTGTATAAAATTTTATAATTTGCAGGTGGTTTAAAAATTACAAAATTTATAATCAAGTTAAAATATGAAAACAAAATAATATTTTTTTAATTACATAGAAATTTTATTGATTTTTTTAAAAATCTTGATTAAGTTTTGTATGTAGCACTTTAATATTTTTATAAAAAAATTTTATTTTAATCGATCTGTATTCAGCTTTCAGGTGGTGTAAAAAGTAATGTTACTGGAGACGGCATGACAAGAGGTCCCGTCGTGAGATTACCTTCCGTTCAACAAGCCGTGTATGTTGTTTTTAAAATTATTTAGTCTTATAAAAATTGTTTAATTTTTTTTTTCTATTAAGGTGTTAGAAAAAGATTGATTCAAATAATTTTGTTTCTTGAGATTAAATAATTTTAAAACTTTCATATTAACAACTTATCTTTTAGAAATTAGGATATTTTATCAACCACATATCTCCATTTTGGTTTAATTTTATAAACTTTCTTCCAAGATTATGTATTGATATAATTCTCATGTGTATAGAAAAGAGTCAACGATTGCTGGATTACATTGAGCTATGTTAATCCTACTAATTAAATTAGTAGGATTAATATAGCCCAATGTGAAGTAATTTGGTTAGAGGTAGGCATTGGGTTTCATCTTCTGATAAGTTTAATAATTATATCTAAATTAATATAGGCTTGTAGTATCCTTATGGACAAAATTTCAGATATGAATGATGTTGTTGGAACATAACAGAAAGGCATGCCCTTAGGAGCCAGAAAGTGAAAGGAACCATACTTGTACATGTGACCCTTTTGTGAGATATATCCCCTTCTTTTAAATCAGTCTTTTTCTCGGTGGTATAGGGAGTGATGCTATGCACTCCTAAAAAACTATCACATTTAACTATTCAGCCCATTTGACTGTTTATGGAGTATTTGATGTTATATAGTGTTAGGGGGTGTGGGAGCTTGTCCCATATGGATGCTGAGGTGTGAGTGATAGCAAGCACCAAAGCAGAAGACTATATGTAGTGTGTGGAGAATAGACAGTAGTACTGGTTCAAGGTAAAAACTGTTTTCGGTCAGTAAAAGTTAATATATTTATTATTTATGTTAAAGGCACTGGTCCCTGTGCCTAAAACGTAACTTGTTTTCAAACATAATGTCTACAAGCAAGATGGCAACTGGAATTGCTGCCATTGGGATTCCACATTTGGGGGTAAATATCACACAAAGGGTTGTACGTTGGACTTTTCTGTACTCTTTACCGATAAATATCATTGGAACGTCTGACAATTGTACTGAACTGTCTGTTAAACACACAACAGGCTTAGCATAGTCATGCTGCATGTTCAATGCAGCATGACTCCCTATATCATTTGGAAGTAGACTGATTTCAAGGAGCTATATCTTGCAAAGGTATGATTCCTTTGACCTTTTTTTGCTCCTAAGGGCATGCTTTACATCTTTGTTAAGGTCTCAACAGTGTCATTCATATTTTTAATCTCATATGAGAATTTACTTCCATTCTTCTTCTTCTTCTCCTCTCATAGTCTTATAAAGACTGTTGGGCATCTCTAGGAAACTGTCTTGGTATACTCTTTTCAAGTCTCTGTCCCAACATCTTGAGGATAAATTAAATGTTCAAGTCTTTCTTTCTGTCAGCCTTGGTGTGATAAGCCCTCCACATTGTTAAATCCTATTTATTAGGTTATCTAACTTTATCTAATTTATAGTCGTGGGCTAAAAGCGTTGTTTATTATTATCTTGTAGATAGTTGGGCAATTGATAATCCAGTCCATTTCGTAATATTATCAGTCCATGTGGTTCTTGGCCTGCCTCTTCTCCTTGCCTAAACTTTTGTATGTAGGCCCATAACATTTTTTACCTGTTTATTATCTTAATATTAATCCTATCATACCATTATTTAAAAATAAGAATTAGTCTTATGTTATTGGGTTTCTACCTACATAGATTGAGTTCTTTCAGTTACTTTTTGGGTATACACATGTGCAAGTGAACCTTATTGGTGATAAAATGCCTAAAATAAATCTGCAATTGTCATAAAATACATCTGGGACTGTATCAAGGGACTGTTGGAAAGCTTACTGCTGTTCGATTTACATTACATAAGCTATCTTAAAACTCTTACCTCTCATTCCTCTCTGATTTCATCTTCCCATTACAAACTCCCAATTTGTTTGACTAATCTGGACTAAATACCACATAGTTACTCTTCAGTTCTCTACAAGAAACATAGACTACCATAAAACTAGGATCCCTCACTCTTTCTCTCTGATTTCATCTATCCCCAAACTCCCAAATCTTTTGAGCGAGCTGGACAAATTTTGAATAGTTAGCAATCTCTGCAATCTTCCAAAAAAATATATGTACTTTAAAACTCAGACTCTCACATCTTTTTCTGATTTCATTTTCGACAAATTTCAAACCCTTCAAACCCTTCAAACCCTTTGACTGAGTTGCACCAAATTTTGCATAATTACCTTCTGTTACTATGTGGGAGACAAATACTCATTACAGGAGTGATGTGGGAGTTCCTAAAGGGACAACTCAATCCCCTTCTCTGAGTTCCTGGGAAACACTGGGCATTTGTTGCTAATTTAACTTATAATTTGTTTTACATCTAGGCCAAATTACTTGGCATTTAATTAGTAATTAGTAGGAGTAATATAATATGATGTAATCTTGTAGTCATTTGGCATTAATTTAAGTCATGTTTATGGATGTTTATATTTGTGTAATTTCCATTTTGTTTGAAAATTATTGAAAGCTTTTACTATTAATACAGTAGAGCATTGATTATTTAAAGGATCAGTTAACCAAAATCGACTTCATATAGTACAATTTCAAAAATGACAGTATGTAATAATGATTGTTTGCAATTTTCTGTAGGCCCACTACTGAGCTATCTTGTTATTTTACTATTATTTATATTTTATTTTGAATTCAAAGTTTCATCGCTACATTATAGATAGAAAGAAAAGACTTGTGCTAATTTTTAATAAACTAGATGAATTTTTTTATTATTTCTAGTCATTTGTACATATTAAATTTCTATTCCTTAATTTTTTTTACTTTGTACTAGAATTGAAATTAATATTTTCACTTTATTTTGGTATTCATCTGTATATTCTTTTCCTGCCGAGTGCAATTGTTTTTCCAAAAGTGTTCCATCCCAATTATTTTGGATATTCAGAATTATTAATTAATTATTAAAAATTAGTCATAATATAGCCCCTTAATACAGTAGTTTGTTTGGTTTTAATTAGAAATTGGTAATGTTTAAATCTTTATTGTTTCTGATAATTAGTGCATTACTGTATTAAATTACAAAAGCTTTCAATGTTGAGAAACAGAAATGGAAATTTACATATTTTCATTACAGTAGAACCTCAAAAACTCGGCTCTTGATAACCCGGCACTCCGGATAACTCGGCCACACCCTGGCAGGGCAAAAAAATTCTTAGTTAATTAATTTTCATGATAAAGACAGCTTTATGCCTCATAAAGTATTTTTCTGAGGTCTGTCTTATCAGGTAAATTACTGTACAGTGTATTCATTAATTTTCATTTTCATGTAGTAAAGGCTCTATTCTATGCCTTCATAAAAGATGTACTTTTCCTTTGTTTAAGGATATTTGGGCAGTTTATTCTTTGTTGTATTCTCAAGCAAATAATACATACAAGTACAGTACAGTATTTTCTGAGGACTCCACACTCGTACTTATTTTTTTAATGCCATTCCCGATAACCCGGCATTTTCACAAACTCGGCCACCCTTCAGTCCACATNTGGCTGCATTTGTAGCATTCTCACCACTTAAAAATAAAAAGTATAAAACATGTCTCTTATATTCATCTGTTACTTCCATTTTAACGAAAATAAACAACTAAAATGTTCCCAATTCTGAACAGTATTATATGAATGAGATCCAATTTAACACTTCAGTGTAAAAGGTATCACATTAGACTGGCATTTTTAATAGCAAAACAAGATTTTTCTCAAGGTAATAAAATATGCACGAACTTATGGACTGACCTGATATATACATATATATATACAGATATTACTTGATTAACACAGTTAATTAAGTAATTGTGCTATTGTGTATATCAAATACACTGGTACCTTGTGGCCATCATGACCCACTAGAACAAATTTTCGGTTAATAACAAATATTTTCATTTTGTCATTGGTAAAAAGTTTTCTGTGATAAAAATGAGTAACTAATATATATATACAATGTCTTTTTTATAGCTTGTGTCCCTTTTTTGTAGTTTGCAGGTACCGCTGCTGTAACCCCATAGAAGACATGCTAGTGACCATGGAACATTGCCCAACGAAGTCATGCAATTCATGTGATATTGCTTTATCATGCACGCTTGTGCTATGAGCTTATATCTCAAAGACAAAGTCATGGGCCCCTATTTTTTATTATGTTTTTGGATTCCTCATTGCAATTAATGGAAAATGGCAAAGTTTAATCAAAATTGATTGAACAGAGAACAAACAGAATTCTGTAAGCCATGCAGAAGAGGATTTGCTAATGTTTAAAACAGCATACTTTTAAATTTACATAATGTTTAATATGTGCATGGAGCACCAATCAATGTGGAGGATGATATACTTATATAAAATTTTATGGTTGAAACTATTTGAAGAATCATCCCCTGAAATTTTTTACATAAAAAATTGAATCACCCTGTTTATAGATAAAAGTGCAGCAAGACATTTATAGATACACTATTTATACACACAGAAAGGAAAATAAAAGTATAAACAGCAGCACTAGAAATCAATGAATCATTTCAAAATTTTTATTACAAATGGTCTATATTGGGAATAAGGGGCAAGTCTTATGGGACTGACTAATGAGCAAAGTAAGCAGAGAGCAAATCTCCCTAGTATCTATATAACTATATATTTTAATTAGAAAATTTCTGATAAATATTTATAAAATTATGAAAAACTTCGGTATTATTAATAAAATATTCATTATATATTTATTCATTCATACCTTATTCATTATATTCTTATTCAATACAATATTCATTATATATTTTCTGTTATGATGAAACCATTTGAATTTTGTTGGTATAACAATATACATAATATATAAATGTTGAAAATTGCAAAGGTTTCAAAGACATTTTTATCCATATTCATTGTATTCCTGTCAGATGTAATGCCATGTTATACTCTTACAGATTAATTTTGATGATACTGATATAATTTTTTTTTATCTAAAGCAAGAATAAAACATATTCCACTTACTTTAAGAGGGGTCTTCTATCTCTGCTATTTTTATACAGTTCATTTCATAGAACCAAAGAAACCAATAAAGATGATTTATTGATTATTTTTGTTGATCAAAGATCTTATTTCAAAATGATCTTTTCAGAGATATTTTTCAGCTGGAATTACTATAAAAAGTATTGATAGCTAGTACTACTAGTTGCTCCAGCAGTGTTTACCAGCAGTTGCTTAATAAAAACAATTCTATGTATTCTGTCATCATAAATGTGTACTGACAGTAACTAATAATTTTGTTTTAGACAGCACTGGATCTCGGTTTTCTGTCCAATATTTTTCTGAAAGTGTTAGAGTGAAATTTAATACATTAGAAGTCTATTCCTTTAACTCAATCATATTGATAAAACATTTATTGTAGAAAATTTTTTTTTGTGTGTTGTTCTGAAATATTTCACTTTCCCAGTGACTTTTTTGGTTAGATTCAGAAATAAATTATCAGTAGAAATACATTGTCAGAAACAAAAAGTGATTGAAAATTAATAAACTGATAACTTAGAAAAAGATTATTTTATAATAAATTTATTTTACATTTTATATAGGCTGATATTCAGAATTTCACAGATGAAGAATTATTAATTTTACTGAAAAATAAAAAGTTGTCCCTTCACAAACTGGAGAACGATCTTGGAAATTGTGAACGTGCCGTCGTCGTTCGGAGAAAATTTATTTCTAAATTAGTAAATTGTGAAGATGCATTAAATGAGCTTCCTTTTACAAATTATAATTATGAAATGGTAAGTTTTTCTCCCCCCAAAAATAATCTAAATAATCTATTTATGTAAAATTTAGAGTTTAATTTAAGGAATTAATTTCTTAGTTTTATTTTAAAATGTAAGAGCTTAAAAGAAATCTGAGTTAAAATATAAAAAATGTACAACTTACAGAAAAAATATTAATCTTGTTATATAAAAATACAATATAGTTAATTTAGAAATTTCTAATTAGAAGCATTTGACTCTATAGTTTTGAAATTTTTAGAAGCAAGTGAACTGCTGAATTATTGGATTCAAATTTCCAGAATGTTCAAAGTTAGTCGTTTAAAGTACGAGGTACCACTGTATGTTTTGCTGTAGTAAATATCACATCTTACAAATTATAGATAAAATACTCTTGAAATGATTGATTTCTGAATTAACAGAAATAGAATTACGAGAGAAGTATGAATTATCTTCCAAATTATCTTCCAAATTAATTTTCATAAAACATTAAAATCAGTAAATTTATTACAATGTGAGGTGGTGAAAAAGTAATTTTACACAAGCCATATCAAACAAAGAACAAGACAAATACTTCTATGGTAGAAAAGAAAACATATCAGATTTATCTGTTGAGGATGTACTGAATTCTTTTGATATTTTTAAGAATTTAAAAAATTTTATAAAGGACTTTTTGGAATAGAAAGGCTTTATTAATTAATATCTTTTTGAAAGTCTTTAAAAACACTTATTCTGATATGAAAATCCTTGATTATCAGGACTTTCTGGAGGAACCTTTGTCTCTTCAACTTAGTTGTTTTAAATAATTAGCTAGTTTAGATTCTTTAGTAATGTGACAATGCCGAAGGGCCTCCCTATACTTCGGCACCACGTGACCGAAGGGGCGACATCGCGTCGGCGAAGATCTCAATGACAGGTTCCGTCAGGACTGACACCACTGTGTCTTCACGGCTAGACACAGAAACCGTTTCGTTCGGGCGTGAGCGGTCGCGTGTGTGAGTGATCAAAGTCGAGATAGAAGGAAAGACAGCGCACCGGAAGTGATTAGACTAGTAGGCTAGATTAACATAACAAATGTTTAATGGGTAATGATAGGGAATACATATCTTACAATATGTTGCCCATAAAGTTCGATAGTAAAGTTAACTGAGCGTTCTCGAGAGAGAGAGTTTACAATTCATACGCATGGCGATAAATACCTTTTTTTGATATCTTGATCTGGATCCAGTCGGTAAGACAGAAAGTTCGGGAAGGTAGTGTTAAGTCCAATAGTCCAATAGTTCTTTTCCCTTGATATTAGACGATTCTTGATATTCACAAGCGAAGAAGTATCCCAAGGAGCACAGATATTATGTAGAAGTAATCTGATGGAAGAACTGGCGACGACTGACTCACTTTGTTCTTGTCTAATGTTGAATTGTTAAAATTGCGATACTAGGTCGAAAGGTGATGAGAAAGCGTCTTTATTAGACCTGAGAACTTAACAGATGTTTAACTTCCAGGTGTAACAGTTGACAGTTATTGAACGAAAGTATAGCTGCACTGTGATCTTATGACACTATTGAATGAAAGGATATAAACACACGGAAAGTCTGAATTCAGATCCTCACAGTAATCTTTTAATTAGTTCTCTTAAATCTTCTTTAAATTAATGTGTTTAGCTATTTGAGAGATTATCAGAACCTCTTTAAATATAGCTTTTATAAGAAAAATTATAGCTATATTTAATAAAAATAGTTGTGCCGTGTTCAGTTCATTATGACATATATGAAAATTATTTGTAATAATTTTATAAAGACGAATGCTTGTTTTTCAAATAATAATTGTAATATAAAAATAATAGATATAATCCAGTTATAATTTTATTATTTATCTGCTGATGAGAAATGAAAATAATGAAAACAAATCAAAACATTTTTGAAAATTTTAAATTATCTTTTAATTTTAATATTGTGATTTTTTTTATACTTGTTTAAAGTTCAGTATGATCTTGGAAATCTGACGTATAAGTCCAGAACAGTGTTGGACTATTGGATGTTTATACATTTTGATAAATTAATGATTTAAACACAATAAAAATATGATGAAATATGACTACAATTGACATAATTAAATAATTGAGTACATAAATGAATTTAACATGAAGTCAATTGCTAATGCAATGAAAGAAGTTGGATTATTGATCAAAATATTTGAATGTGCTGTTATTGCCAAGTTGATGGATTCAACTAAATTTAGTAGGAGATACAGTATTTTTGGTGAAAAATTCTGAAAGACTAATTTTTATAGTTATGTAGTATTGTTTTCTTTTATAGTGAGCCCAACAATGTTTAATATCGTGCCCAAGCTCGGGTTTGATATCATTCCATGTTTAGTAGAAAAATGGTCAAATTTAGCAAGAACTAGCATTTTCACTAGCAGAAAGCTTGTCTATGGTTTGACTGCAGTACCGATAATACCTGAGAGTCTAATGTCAGATTATTGGACATGCCAAATTAACATGTGATTGGATTATTGAGATTGTACCATATATTTGCTTTAAAACTAAAGCAAATCATACACTTTTAACATTTGTTAACAGTTTATGGAAATGCAAATGTTCTTTACACAGTTAATTGGCCATCTTTTGCTGTAAAAGAATGTAAGAGGACTGTCAAATGTCTTTTATGTCTAAAGATGGCCTGTTGACCAATTCAAAACTGGAAACTGTTATATATTGTCAAAGATGTACAGTTTGATTTGTTAAGTTAATTGCTGTGGCTAGTTTGACTTAGTAGAAATTTTGTAATATAAATTTGCAATAAATTAATATTTTGTAAAAGTTTAAACTAATCTTTTTATTTTTAAATTGTTAAATAGGTAATGGGTGTCTGCTGTGAAAATGTAATTGGATATATGCCACTTCCAGTGGGAATTGCAGGACCTTTGTTGCTAGATGGAAAGAATTATTACATTCCAATGGCAACGACAGAAGGTTGCTTGGTTGCCAGCACTAACAGGGGATGTCGTGCAATTAGTGTAAGAGAACTTTATTAAATTTCTTCTGATGATTGATAAATTAATATAGTTTTATTTATCTTTAATGATGAGTCTGTTAAAAATTGAATTATGTATCTATAATACAGTGATGGACAGCATGCCAATCGTTTAATAGAAGAAACTTTTAACATATACACATTAAATTACAAATAAATGTCGCTAAATCGACAAGCACTTTTGATGATAATTATTTTCATCTTCATCAGGTCATTAAAACATTTAAAATCCTTTTTTGAATACAAATAACAAATTGTTCCAAGCGTATTAACATTTTGGAATTAGAGCAACGATAGAAATCTTGTGTATATTTGGGAAGCCCTTCTTACCAACATATTAAAACCCTGCAGCACCCCCACACTTGATTTGCCCCCTTTGTGGATCAATTTGTATAACCATCTAAAACAACGTATCTAGCTCCACAATTTGGAGGCGTTTAACACATGCGACTTATAACCACGCGTGTTTTCATTTAAAAATTGTTTTATGTTCTACCGTTGCTCTCATTCCAAAACGTTAATACACTTGGAATGATTTGTTATTTGTATTCAAAAAAAGATTTTAAATGTTTTAACGACCTGATGAAGACAAAAATAATTATCGTCGAAAGTACTTGTAGATTTAGCGCCATTTATTTGTAATTTAACGCGTATATGTTAAAAGTTTCTTCTATTGAATTATGTATTCTGTCAACATAAATTATTAATATCGTTAGCTCTTATTATTGAATTATAAAAGTAATGTTTTAATACGTATGTGTTTATGCAGAGGATTGTGTCTGTTATGCCTATATTATATGCATAATAGACAAAACAACTAATCTTTTTAACATAATATATGTTAACAAGATTACTGATAATGTAATTTGTTAATTTGCTTGAAGACATTCCAGAATGAAAACAGAAAAACAAATGTTTGTTTTAGAAGTAACATTTGGGTATAAAGGAGTTTTTTAATGTGTTGTTTAATGTGTTGTTTGTATGTATGTGGATCGGTAGTGATATTTGTATAGTGCAGAGTAGTGAAAGTTGTATAGATGTGTTAAACTGTATAAAATTTTATAATTTGCAGGTGGTTTAAAAATTACAAAATTTATAATCAAGTTAAAATATGAAAACAAAATAATATTTTTTTAATTACATAGAAATTTTATTGATTTTTTTAAAAATCTTGATTAAGTTTTGTATGTAGCACTTTAATATTTTTATAAAAAAATTTTATTTTAATCGATCTGTATTCAGCTTTCAGGTGGTGTAAAAAGTAATGTTACTGGAGACGGCATGACAAGAGGTCCCGTCGTGAGATTACCTTCCGTTCAACAAGCCGTGTATGTTGTTTTTAAAATTATTTAGTCTTATAAAAATTGTTTAATTTTTTTTTTCTATTAAGGTGTTAGAAAAAGATTGATTCAAATAATTTTGTTTCTTGAGATTAAATAATTTTAAAACTTTCATATTAACAACTTATCTTTTAGAAATTAGGATATTTTATCAACCACATATCTCCATTTTGGTTTAATTTTATAAACTTTCTTCCAAGATTATGTATTGATATAATTCTCATGTGTATAGAAAAGAGTCAACGATTGCTGGATTACATTGAGCTATGTTAATCCTACTAATTAAATTAGTAGGATTAATATAGCCCAATGTGAAGTAATTTGGTTAGAGGTAGGCATTGGGTTTCATCTTCTGATAAGTTTAATAATTATATCTAAATTAATATAGGCTTGTAGTATCCTTATGGACAAAATTTCAGATATGAATGATGTTGTTGGAACATAACAGAAAGGCATGCCCTTAGGAGCCAGAAAGTGAAAGGAACCATACTTGTACATGTGACCCTTTTGTGAGATATATCCCCTTCTTTTAAATCAGTCTTTTTCTCGGTGGTATAGGGAGTGATGCTATGCACTCCTAAAAAACTATCACATTTAACTATTCAGCCCATTTGACTGTTTATGGAGTATTTGATGTTATATAGTGTTAGGGGGTGTGGGAGCTTGTCCCATATGGATGCTGAGGTGTGAGTGATAGCAAGCACCAAAGCAGAAGACTATATGTAGTGTGTGGAGAATAGACAGTAGTACTGGTTCAAGGTAAAAACTGTTTTCGGTCAGTAAAAGTTAATATATTTATTATTTATGTTAAAGGCACTGGTCCCTGNTGTACAGTGTATTCATTAATTTTCATTTTCATGTAGTAAAGGCTCTATTCTATGCCTTCATAAAAGATGTACTTTTCCTTTGTTTAAGGATATTTGGGCAGTTTATTCTTTGTTGTATTCTCAAGCAAATAATACATACAAGTACAGTACAGTATTTTCTGAGGACTCCACACTCGTACTTATTTTTTTAATGCCATTCCCGATAACCCGGCATTTTCACAAACTCGGCCACCCTTCAGTCCACATTAGGTTGAGTTTTCGAGGTTCTACTGTATTAATAAAATGTGTTTTTATTCAAAATAATTAAAGAATTATTTTTTTCCTCAGACTTTGATTAATAAAATATTAAACATCTGAAGTATTTGATATAATTAAAATTATTTAATAATAATTTTTTATAATTTATAGAACTGTTATGAATTGGTTAAATGAAGAAGAAAATTTCAAATATTTGAAATCAGTATTTGATTCCACAAGCAGGTAATTTTGTTTATTTTAAAATAAACATTTGTATATTAATTTATTAATTAATTAATCAGATGTTAATTGAAAATCTCAATCAACAAAACCTTTAACATCCAGTAATGAATGTTAAAGGTTTTGATTAATGTAAAACTTGACAAACATTTTCAATCTTAAACAAGATCTGCATTAGGTCAACATTATATTCCAAACCAGAATGCTCAGAACAGAAGTTTTCCAGGAAAACTTCTGTTCTGAGCATTATGGTTTGGAATGTAATGTTTGAGCATTTTGTTTAATGTAAAACTTCTGTTGTTAAGTTTTACATTAAATTTCATTACTGGATATTGAAGGTTTTGTTGATTGTGCTTTGTAATTTGTTCCAGTTATTGAGAAGGTAATTTAATTGAAAATCTGTTGAAATCTTTTAATTAATTAAAATTTAATTAAGAAAATTTCATCTCATTATTTTTACATTAACTAGGGGGAGGCTTTGCCCATTTGTTTCCAATGTGGACTGTTCATAAATATAAAATCTCAATAATGCATAACTTGAATGATAACTTGGCACTATGAAATGAGAGTTAAGAGAAATGCTTATTTCTTGATACCAAGGCAAATAGTTTATTAGAAACATTTTTGTTCTTATGTCAGAATGACATCAGCTAACATTCAATACAAATGTTTTAAATTAGACCCTCCTAAAATTCATGTAACATAAACTATACTTTTGCATCTTAGTCTGCAAAATGGACTAAGTGGTGTAAGGAGGAATAGTCTATTATCCAACTATGTCAGATCGAACTTGCTTTAAATTTTATATGAATGAAAATAAAATTTGATATATAACAATATAGCAAACAAAAAATATAAGGGATTTGTACTAATATTCATATACTGTAGGCATGCAGGAAAGATACACAAAAAGGGTTAAGGTTTGTGATTAAACTTAGCCAGCAGTTTTCTAATAAAGAGTGATGGAATACATGTGTTAAAAACAGCATTCCACCTGGGGTTCAATATTAGTAAGTTTTGGGCATTTATAACATAAAGTGTATACACTTTATGTCTTGATCCTATAATGTTATAAATGATCATAATTGTACAACTGAATGCAGTTCAAATAAATACAAACACCAAAATCCAGCAGTAGTTTGTCTTTTAAACTGGAATGCCAGTTTTTACCATATGGAAATATCTGATTTCATAATCTCCCTGGTAGGCCAATATGCCAGACAGTCTATGAGAATATAGTATTATGCTTTGAGTTTCGGAAAAGATATAGTGTTGTGAAAATCTGGACTTGAGAGATTTATTTAAACAAATTTTATTAAAATATATATAAAATACAGAAGATACAAAAACGTTATTTCTGCCTTTTTCAACATTAGGAACTAACAGTCTTCCTTGGCAGAGACGACCTTTTATTGTAAGCTTGAATTTTGTTAAAATATTTATTAAATTTATTTTGAAAGAAATATATCTATTTTACAAAATTATGTGAAGTTGAAAAAGGAACTTCCTGTTTTGATGGAGGAAAATGTCCCAGTTCCTCCAAAAGTGATAGTTAGTGTGGGATTTCTCACACTTTCTGCGAGACTGCTCGACTTCTGCAATTTGTCAGAAGCATGGAGGGCTTATTTTGAATAATTCAATTGGATGGAATTTTTGTATAAAAGGTGATAGGTCACCTCCAAATGTTCTTTCTTGCTTTCACTCACTCTCTCTCCAACTCTCACTCTCTGGCTCTCTCACTCATTCTCCCCTGAGACGAGATAAGACAGTATGAAGAAACTTGTGCCTCATTTGAAGAATATTTATCACTCAATGTTAAATAATATATATATGTTCACATGTGTACTATAAATTTATGTAAACTCTCTACGAAAGGAACTAGGTAATGGATTGTAATTCAATTTTATTTTCGTTTAGAATTATTTATGTTTAAAGGTTTGTTTCCTTGATATGTTTTTATATTATTTTAGAATTTAATCCATTTGTATATAAATATTGTTTATCTTTTATTAATAAAAACAGTAGAGCGTCGTTTATCCGAATCAATTGGGGACTGGGGTTGTTTGGATAACTTATTTTTCGGATAATTGATTATGTACGAAAAAATATATTAACCTATCCCGTGTTGAAATTTTTCTCCGTTGCATGTCACTTTGCGTTGAATTTTCATCAATGTTAAGCCTAATGTAAACTTTTTAAAATAATAATCGTGGCTATTGTATCGTTAAAAATGATTTCTTTATGTTTTACAAACCGAAATAAATACATTTAAAAATGTAAAAACAAATAAAAATTATACTTTAGGCCGACTGGAATTCTTTTGGATAACTGACATTTCGGATAAACGACGTTCTACTGTATATCTTTTAAATATTGCTTTCGATTTGTTTCTGCCTAACTCTATCGTCAACCCACAATATGAATGTTTCAAATTAGTATTCCTGTAATATAAATTATAATTCTAAAATTCCTGTAACATAAATTATAATTTTGCATCTTAGTCCACAAAATGGACTAAGTGGTGTCAGGAGATCTTTATAATAATCTGAGAGTTGGAATATTTGTGTAGTTTTATCTTTCAGTGATTAATTAATGCCATCACCAGTGGGGCAGGGTTGACTGGAAAACACCTGTTCTCACAGTGTCCTACAAATGTCATGATTGTATATGGGAAAGATGATCCTAAACTTCGAATGTGTCAAATGTGGTATAAAAAGTTCTGTTTGGGTGATTTTCAACTAAAAGATACAAAACATGAGATGCCCAAAAGCTGTTGATGAAAAAAAATTGCAGGGAGAAAGTATTAAAAATCAATAAATAACATACAATACAGTATATATAACCAAACACTCCAAAAATAAAGCATAAAAAGCACTGAAAACTTGCAAGCATAACATGAGAGAGAAAGACAACTTGGACACACAACAGATTGCATTTATACTTCAAGTGCATTTTTTTCACTACACACACAGTTCGAACTCTCAGGTAAATTTTTGATGATTTTTGATAAATTTTTCTTTCAAACTCTAAAGCGTTTGAAGTATGAGGTACCACCACAGTTACTGTAATTTTCTATTGATGGTTGACTAAACTTGAGTATATTATAATTGAATTTTAAAATATGAATTTTGGAAAAAAAAACCAGTTATCTTGAATTGATGCATGCAATTCTTCCCTTAGAACTTAAACCAATGAATAATAAATTATCTGTAATGATTCTATTAATTACATTTTTGCAGATTTCTTTTCCACTTTTAGTTTGTTGCAACTAGATTCTGATCTTGGTTTTTTTTATTGTTTTTTTGTTGACTGTTTAAAAATCAAATTATGTTATAGAAGCAATATTAAGTAGTCATAAATATAATAACTCTCAACCAATAGGAAAGCAGTGAAAACAAACGTAGTCAAATTAATCAAATTACACATTGATATCCAAAGAACATCTGAGATTTAAAAAAATATTGTACTAAAAATTAACACATTCTAAATGAAAGTCAGTTTTTTTAGGAGTTACTTTTTGATGAAGATAAGCTTGGCACTTTGAAGCGATACCATAAGCTTTTTATTATTGTCTCTGCACGTTGCATTCATGCTATAGTAACGTGGTGAAGCTTTTGTGAATCAATTTCACAGACATTCTTTGGTTTTCTCACACATTGAAAGCTGTGACTGTGCAGTAGTATTCCAGACTGCCATTGTGAAGGATCTGGAATAAAATTGTGATTGAGACTGAGCAGTTTCTCGTTAGGGTAGAGAACAATGCACCGGTAGCTAAGCAGATTTGATTCCCAAACACTGATTTGAGTTTAGCTTGAGTTTGAGCTTGTGCCAACGAGCTGATTTGTGAAGTTGTCCAGGTTTTCTTCATGTTCATAATTTTTTAATAGAGACCTTAAAAGACTTCCAGGAAGACGCATACCAAGGTATGTGCCTTTCTGGAGGTCTTGATTGGCAGATCTCACTCTGCTGCATGACAGTATTTAAATTGTAATCAATCAATACACTCACACATTGAATATACATATCTCGTCATATTCCAGTGATTCACATGTATAAACTTTCAGCTTTTCGATCACTGATCAGAAGAACTTTTCTGTATTGTACTAGTGTTAATGACAGAATAAGAAAGCTTAACAGAATTTTTAATTCTATTAAGCTCTTATCTAAATTGCCATAACATTGGAATACAAAAAGAAATTGGTTGAAGGTCTCATCAAAAGGTTTAAGAAAGACAAAAGAGGAATGAAAACAAGAAACAATAAGATGTCTAAGTTCACATATAATAAAAACTTAAAGAGCATCATGAATGAGATTGCAGATCGTAAAGAATCAGAACTGGTATTCAAAAGAGTGACTGTTAAATGATGACTGTTAAATGAATGCAATTCAAATTCATTTTTGAATTGCATTCGTTTAACAGTCATTAGTTACTTGAAGAAGAACTTTCAAGTTCAAAAATGTTTGTAATGCTCTGTTTTTTCAAGAAACACACCAGCAACACGTTTCCAGTACATTTGTTGTTTTCAAACATTGTTTGTATTATCTTAAAAATTCCTTTTTGGAATATAACTAAAATAATCTTGGGCTAATATGTACAAACATAAATACATCAAAAAAGACAGTATTGTCCATTATGACACATGTGGAAGGCTAAATTGTAAAATGGGAGGGCCTGACATCATAAAACCAGTGCATTCACTATTGTTAGCAATGGGTATGAAAAAGTTAGAAATATACAGAAGCAGGGTAATGGACAGGTGTCTGAATGCTAGGGTTACTGAAGGGTTACAGTTAGCATGGAAATACATCATGGAGAGAGAACTAAAAGATACCAATTTGTAGATTGCCCTTGGGTTAAAGAAGTAATCTTTATATACATTTTTCATATTTGGCTTCTGATTGTATATTTACACATTGTGATTATTTTATGTTTCATCTTTTATTATTAATTTGAGTGGTTTTGCATAATGTTTTTAAAGTTGTTTTGTGTTCTTTTATTCATATTTAAATTTGTTTTATTTGAAATTCCATTAGAATGTGATTTAATGCTTGAAAATGACTTGTAGAGCAAACTGAAAACATTTGTGGTTATTAAACATTTTCCTTGGCAATATAAGGTGTTGTATGTGATTTACATTACAGCTGAGGGTGTGTGGTTGAGAAATTAATTAATTATAATTAAAATCAAATCAGTTGAAANTTAGGAAATTCCCTAAAAGAATGAAAAAGTTGTGAAACTGATCTAAGAAAAGTACAAGATTTAGTGATGCTGAAAGGAAAAAGAAGAGGAGAAGACCAAAGATAAGAAACTCTCCTCCATTTTAGGGGGGGTTAATTCGTGCCTTGCATGATGAATTGTACATGTTTCACAACATTATCTAACAGCCTTGAGCTGCTGATGATTCCATCCCTGTGGCGTTAAAAATAACACGAAGTTAAGAAAAAAAGATACTTGCTCTACATCCTCCTTAGCCTGAAGAGGAAGAAGTTGATACAGAAGAGTAAGTTATTAGCTATACTAAACTATATTCTAAGATGTGGATTCTTGATAGGTGTGTAGTTGATTACCCTCCTGAAGCTGTACGTAAATTTTTATATGTGTTATTTAAAATTAATTTATAAATTAATAAATAAAACGTGATACTAATGTCACTGTTTATACAATTTTTTAATGCTTAGAAAAGTGCGAATTGATGTAGAAATTAAAGTGTTTTAAGAAGAATAACTTAGAGGGAGAAAGTTGAGGGAAAAATGCATAAATTCTGTGATTTATTCTAAGGATTAAAGTGTTGAATAGTGTAGAAATTACCAAGTACACCTAATGACAAAGTGGCATATTCCTTAAGATAAGGACATTGAACTCAACACTTATTTTTTTCTCACATGTTGATACGTTTATCTGTAAGATAACATTAAGAAAATAATAGTAAACAAACCAATTAAATTGTAAAAAATTTGATATTCCAACATTGCAAAAAATAATACAATTTTTTTACAATGTGTCTTTGCAGTAAAGTAATTGGTTGGTTTTTATTTTTATTTGTTCTAAATTCCTTTTTTGATGGCCTATATCTGTGCTGTTGAAAACTTCTCTACATCCCTGGCATTTATAAATTTGTGCAGCAGAAAGGCGAACATTTTGAACTGTAGTGTGAGCTGGAGAAGAATGAATAAACTTCATAATTTAAATTTCTATTAATTTTCTTCTCTTTTGTTTGCTGAATTCAAAAGATTTGAAGAAATTAACAGAATTATAATAATACTCATTTATATAATTTAAAAATTTTTTTCTTGTTTTTTGTAAGTGTATGCTATAATTATTATATTCTAGATATATAAAATTATCACCACATATTTCTATTGTATAATAATAGTGATATGTGGTGATAGTTTTATGTGGTAATATGGTAATATATTTATACACTTACAGATAAACAGTAGAACAATACAATATTTTTAGGCATTGTCATACATTTTCAAGTTTTCTTTTTGCTAACTCATAATTTTTATAACTTCATAATTTTGTTCTTAATAACCTCATAACTTCATAATTTTTTCTTAATAATACAGTTAATAAATCAAAGTTAAGAAAATGTCTTATGGTGAAAACTGCATATATTAATGGAAGAAAAAATCAACATTGTAACAAATACTTGCAAAAAGAAATACTTCTCAGTACTTGTAGAACAAATTGCATATTAAAACAATCCAGGACAAAATATATTTACAATGCTAAAGACTAAATACAAAAATTACTTTTTGAAGTCTTTGGCATGTCCATTTGTGACTGTAGGAACACAATTAATGCAGAGTTGACTTTCCATAGCAGTTATTCTATAAGTGGGCACATTGTGTAAAATTTCAGAAAATTTGCATATGCACAGGTCTCTAAAGAAAGGTCGACTCCACTATAATCATGTTCTGACAGTAATGAATGCATATGCCAAAGACTTCAAAAAAAAATTTTTTTTTGTATTTAATATCCAATACTGTAAAAAAACATCATCTTTAGAGTAGTATAACAATTTAAATGTGATTAATTTTTGGGTTTTAATTTGAAAAAATTGTCAACCTATAAATCTCTACTGTCTTCCATCTGCGTGTCCTTCCTTAATCTTGAGAATGGGAGTTAGATAGATGAAAGCCGAGACCAGATATGGAAAGCTTAGGACTATTAACTATATATGCACTTCTAATGCAAACAGGAAATCTCATTATTTCAATTTTAAAATTTACCCTGAAGGAGTTAGATAGATGACCAGCATGACTCTATTGCTAACAGGAAAAGTGTGATCTACATGGGCAAGACATTACTAATTTGAGGGAAGAGCAAATATTTTAAATTAAAAGTATGATTAAAAATTTCAGCCTGGCATTATGATGTCTCAATAAATATTTGCTCATTCACAATTAAATACAGATTGACATTAGATTTTTTTTGTTAATTCTAAGATGTTTAAATTTATTTAACAAATCTAACTTGCAAGCATTTTTAAATCAATGCCTTTAACTTGTTAATTGAATTAAAAAGCTTGAAAACTGACAGAAAAATATGTTGAATGTTAATATGTATTAAAGTGTGAGAAAGTTACATTTGTTGGATTATTCTGATGATGAGGAAATTTGCATCTAAAAATATTTAATATTTTTTAATAAAATTTAATATTACTTCTGGAGGTAGAAGTTTTATGATTATGATTATTTAAATTAGTTTGTAAAATATTGAAATGCATACAATAAACGAGCAGTTATTTGTAATGTTGCAATTTTTAACCCTTTTTATTAATTTATTTAATTTAAAATATATGCTCTCCACCTCAAATTAGTAGTATCTTGCCCCTGTACGTCATACTTTTTCATTAGCAATGGAGTCATGCCACTCATGTATCTAACTTCTTTTGGGGAAAATATTTAAATTGAAATAATGCGACTTCCAGTTTGCATTGGAAGTTCATATATAGTTCATTGGGGTCTCCTGCCCCTAAGCTTTCTATGTCTGGTCTTGACTTTCATATATCTAACTCTGTTCTTGAGATTAAGGAAGGACAGATGGATGACAGTGGGAATTTATGTCTACAATTTTTTAAATTGCAGACTTATAAATTCCCATTGTCATTAATGTAAAGATTTTTATGTAAAGCTTAGAATTTGTAAGAATGTTAATAATTTTTAATGTATAAATTTAATAGCATTTAATCTATATATAGGGCACTGAAGTTTCTTTACAAAAATTACAAAACAAATTTCCCGAAATGGAAATATTAAGTATTAGTGGAAATTATTGTACAGACAAGAAGCCTGCAGCTATAAACTGGTAAGGAATAATTTTAATAAGTTTAATACAAAACTACAATCGTTTATTTTTGAATTATGAAACTTTTAATTTGTATGCTTTTTTTACAGCATTTTTGTCTAAAGATAGAATATTTTAATTATTGTAAAAATTAAATAATAAATATTAATTATTTTACAAGAATTTAGATTATAAATGTATTCTGTTGCTTCTTTCTTAATTTGTGAACCAAGTGATTTTGGTACAGATATTCTATTCTGAATTTCAATTGTCAATTGAGTTGCTGTGGTTTTAGAACAATAGCAACTCAAGTAACTACTCTGGCATTTGATCCATTTTTTATTATTCTCTCTCTAATATAATTGCATTTCGAATTATGGTGTCTTAGTGATTCTTTTCCAGTATTATATCTAAAAAATAATACAATACTTTTAAATAATAAATATAAGGCAAAGAATGTGAATTCAGTTAGATGGAGCAGAGCCCCACTATGCACAAATTATAATAAGTTATTTAAACAGGCACTTGCTTTAATAGAGGTGGAGTGTACGATGAGCACTGATACAATGCCCAGCATAATTGCTGAATTTGACTTTGCTTGACTTTTGTTTCTGGTGATATTTAAAGAATGTTGTGTATGAACAGGAACTAACAAGTAGAGCAGATATGATTGTATTATTGACATACCTTGAAACGTTTTATTAAAAATATTTCCAACAGCAAATCAATGTGTACACTTGATAAAATGGAGATGTCTTTGAGCGTTATATGCCATAGGTGTAAACTATGATTGCCACTAATGTTAATTAAGCATTCTGCTAAAACTTTAATTAAAATAAAAAATGTATTAAGTAAATTTAAAATGGCCTCAAGCTATGACACTATGACACAACTTTTTATATCAGTTCATTATTTGTAATAGTTTTGTAATGATTATTTTTAGTATTTTACTTTTTTTCTCAACAAACTTCACAGATATCCACCAATTGGTGCAGGCTTGCGGGTGGTGTGGTGGCAACATAAAAGTTCAAACATCATAACTTCTGATAAGAGCATCTTTCAAAAAAATATTTTAGATAAAAGTTTTCGTTTTTGATCTAGAATCATAATGTGCAATAAAAAAATTGGGGTTTTTATTTAAGAAAATAAAGTTGACCCATTTTTACTGATTACAGCACCATCTGTGACAAAACCAGTAGCCCTATCTCGTGGCCCCCTTGAAGTGAACATTTTTGGTTCAATTTTGTTTTATTAGGATGCATATTTTTTGAATTATTCTAGTGGATTGATTAAAATGGACCACCCTGTATATCAGTAGCATTCATATCAGTACGAATACCCAATACAGAGTATTCTTTGAAATATATTTAAGGAATATTAATGATTTTTGAATAGTACACTTAATCATGAATGTTAAGGGATTAAATAAAAAATTTGGAGCAAATACCATATAATTCTATGATAGAAATCGCAGGAGTACCTAAACTTCAAAAAGAAGACTTAATTGACATAACCAATAAAATAATCACGCAAGTGGATAATAACTTTGATAACAGACCAATTATAAATGTCAACCAAGTTAATTGGGACCAAAACATTCAAAATGCAACAAATAAACCAACACACCCTATAATTGTAAAATTTGCGAATGCCATTACAAAGCAAAAAAATTATTAATATCATCAAGGAAAAGAAATTGCACATCATGACAAATAATTGTGGTATATTGAATGAAGAACACAACATTTACATAAACGAACACTTGTCATCTTATAACAGAAATTTCTTCTATAGAACTAGACCGTTGAAAAAGCAAAGAAAAATAATAAATACATGGACTAATGGAGGTAATATGTACATTAAAAAAAGACATTAATTCCTTGCCAATTCGCATACAATTTTTACAACAAAATTGTCAGCTTATACCCGTGATAGAACTTCTAGAACATAACAAGATAACAGATTTTACAAGTAAAGGGATGTATGTTTTTACTGCAATTAAACAATAAATTTTCAGAAATTATGAACATTATACAAGATTATAACTGTAATTTCGGCATACTAGCACCGACTGAAAACTGGAAAAATGACAGCAACTCTCCACCAAAGATGCACGACTATCAAGGAGAGAAAATCAAAAGATCACCAGGTGAACGTGGCGGTATCATCCTATACATTAACAAGAATCTAAATTATGAACTAATAACCAATTTAACTTTTACGGAAAACTATATAGATATTTTAACGATAACCTATAATAAATATATGTTGGTGACTCTATACCAAGGGTCGCCAAACTTTTTTGATCGTCGACACCCTACAAGTTTTCAATGAATTATGACAACGTTTTTCGTAATACCAAATCTCCGGTAGACTTTTGAAAAAATATAAAAAAAACTGCCATTTAATATATAACTAAACAGAAGAACGACATTAAAATAAAATCATTGCGGGTTAACGGAAATATACTTGAAAATGACGAAATCATAATCTAAATTTTCGCAGAATATCTAAATAGTGCATGGAACAGGGAATCTACGGTAGGAGTGAATCAACCCTTGCAGTCTAATTCGTCTACGAGAATCCTAAATTCTTTTGTACTGTAGGATCATTTGTGGTTGACGAATGAAGTTTATTATACAATAATGAACTTAAAACCCCGTACTCCGGACATAGATAACTTAAATATGGACATAAAGCAATTGCAGATATCATTGCTACTCCTCTATCTTTTCTGATAAACAAATCCTTTGAAACGGAAACGGGAAGCTTTCCGAATAAATTAAATTACAATATGGTCATACCGATATACAAAAATAAAGGGTCTAAAAGCGACATAGAAAGTTACCGTCCGATTATCATCATCCCCGTGCTAGTGAAAATAATTGAGAAAATTTTCTATAAAAAAAAACTCTGGAAGTACATCGCCAATCTAAACGTGATTCACTGTCATCAATATGCTTACAGACAACTTCTCTACAATAGACGCATTATTACATTTTAAACAGGAAGTTACGAACAAATTAGACAAATCTCATTCACTAATAGCCTTATTTCTAAACTCGTCAATAGCTTTTGACAGCGTGGTGGACCTCCGGACTCTCGAAAAAAACTTTTTAATACTGGCTTTAAGAGGAATGCCTCTACAATGATTAATGTCGTATCTGTTAAACCGAAGATATCAAGTAAACAATGTGTATTCAAAAAGCTTCTCACCGAAAACCAGAATCCCCAAAGATCAATACTTGCACCATTACCCTTCAACATCTACTTGAATGACTTATTTGAAGTGATATCAAAAGCAAAAGTAATAGCATATGCAGATGATATTGTCCTAATACATTCCAACAATAACCACCAAGTAGCTCAATACGATTTAAATAACATCCTCTGCAAACTAACTGATTACACGAGCTCAAATATGTTAAAACTAAACGAGAACAACAAAAATATCTCTACTTTGTAAATAAAAATATTGACAAGGAACAACTTCAAATAATAATAAATGAAAAGAAGATAGAGAGATTTTATGCAGTTAATTCTTTCAGAGTTTTAATAGATGATAAACTCAGATACGACAGACATAGCGACAGTTTTTGTTAAATTTTCGATAAGTTTACTGGCATAATCAGAAAAATACAGGATTTCCTGAACATAAATACAGGCATACCTCGACTTACGTCGGTTTCGAGTTACGTCTTTCCCGATTATACGTCGCTTGTTAAAAAAGTATATGGAAAAATAAAAATCAAGTTTAAGTCATTTTATTCGACTTTAAGTCATTTTATTCAAGTTTAAGTTTAAGTCATTTTATTCGACTTTACGTCTGTCCGCCACAAATATTGAAGTCGTAATATCACTAGATAAACGTTTAAAGCACATAAAATCATATTAAAATATATACAAGTATGTACTGTATTTACAGTACACGCATTCGTAAATTTAGATTACTTTTTTTGTACTATATTAAAAACTAAAATTTATTTGTTTGTAAGCTTAAAATAGATTTTTATTAACCATATATTATTTAAAATGCTTTCCTAGTGATAAGTAGATTCGGAGACAGGTAAATTCGACTTACGTCGTTTTTTGACTTACGTCGTTTTCCTGGAACCAATTGCCGACGTAAGGCGAGGTATACCTGTACAATAAGACGACGATATCATATTTGTACAGAACCAAAAATTCAATACGGTATAACTACATGGAAAACTGCGTCAGACTATATCGTAACCGTCTGCAAATACAACAAAAATCATCTAACGAGAGCCATTTTCAAATTAAACTACTACGAATCAACTCGCTATTGTTATCAATAAGAAAAAATTGACAACATAAAAACTTTATACACAAAGCAAACTGTACTTCTCTCCTTTAAATTTATAAAGCTTAAAACGCATAACAGTTATCTTCTAAACAGCAACGAAAATCATCGCAGGATGGAAAACTGCTGCCATTGTCTAAACCATAACTTTTTAAAACCCTCAACAAAACTTTCAATTGAACAAACTGCTCCAGTCTTTCAAATGATAAAATACTGAAACTTGTTATATAAAGATTTTCAAGAGATAACTAACAAGAAGAAATTCAACTTAAACATAAGAAAAATCCCCCTCAGCCAGATCTTTAAAGTAAAAACGATTTAACTGAAAACCAACGATTTTGCAGATCAAAGCCTTTTTCCTGCATACTTAGAATTTTTAAAAATAAAACGATAATCGATATACACAAAAAAAAAGAAAAAGTGTAGGAACAGGGAAAGTAAATTTTTGAAGGCTTTTCACTACAACAATTTTCCAGATAAATTATGTTTTTCTGTTTTAGTGCAGTGAAATTTTTTCTTAGCTATTAATGCATTTGTGTGTGTGTGTGTTTTTTTTTTGCTGATTTTCATACGCTTTTTGTTCCTCTGTTTATTTTGTATTTTTGTGGTACTCGAAAAAGGCCAAATGGCCACAGTGCCTTTTCAGATTAAAGATTAAAGAATATTTTCTTTTATTACTGTTAGAAATGAATTATAGTAACTTTAAAATTTGTTTAATTAGGATTGAAGGAAGAGGAAAATCTGTAGTGTGTGAAGCAGAAATTCCTGGGAAAGTTGTGAAAGAAGTAAGATAATTTTGTTAATTTTTACACTACAAAATTTTTAGTGTGTGAAATCTTGTACACAATTCTCTAAACTAATTGTTAAAAAGTTAACATGACATTATAAGACTTTATAATAATTACAATGCAATAATTATGTATATAGTAGCTGCGAGTACCCGCTTCACTGGGCTTTTATTTGTTCGTACATTTATATGTAATATAGTTTGTTTTTTATGTAAAAGACTGTTTCTCTGCCTCTACATAATCTTTCTCTGATTCGATGCGTTTTCCTATAATTATCAAGTCGCTCTTCTGTCTGATTATTTCTGTTTTGTAGATAATTTTCTCGTAGCAATATTAGACGTACTGTACTTCTCTTTCTTCCCTGATTCCATTTCTCCGCCCCATCTTTTGCCTTTGAGATATGATTCGAGACCGCAAAAATTCTTTCTTATGCTTTGGCATTGTTTTTTATATTTTTACTTTTTACACTTCACTATTCACTTTCTACTTTTTCTGTTATTCGTACACTTTTACTTACAAAAAATCAACTGAAGCATGTGCGTCACACGTCTCCAAAAGCCATCTCCACTACTCACACATAACTATTTGAAAACATTTAAGATTAAGATAACATTATAGTCAATCTTACCCAATATGCAAGAATCAGGTCCCCCACACTTCTGGTCCGAGCAAACTCTGCGCCCTATGCAAATGACTTTGACGTCGCCCCATTTTAAAAAAATCGCAACAATTAAAAATAGAGTATCTATTTTACATTGGTATTTTATATGGAAATTTTTTTATTCAATATGCAGCACGCAATATCGCAATCGTGAGACTACTGCGCTATTTTCAAAGTGGCGACTCGCGGGTGAACGCGTGAGAAAGGATTGTGATCAAAAACATTTATTTTTTCATTATTTATTGTAATTTGTGCATGTACTTTTGCCTTGCCGCCTCCCGAATTCAATCGCCCTAGGCCATTGCTTAGTTCGCCTATATGAACGGCGAACTAAGGGTCTGGAAACGGGGAACCAGGCCCCCGTTTCCAGACTAATTAGAGAATTTTTACATGGGTCTAAAAATTTAGGCCCATGTAAAAATTCTTGCATTCTGTTAAAACGGGTAAGATTGGCTATACTGTAATGTAATCTTAATCTTAAATGTTTTCAAATAGTGGAGGACCGTTATGTGTGATTAGTGGAGATGGCTTTTGGAGACGTGTGACGCACACACTTCGGTTGATTTTTTTTATAAGTAAAAGTGTATGAATAACAGAAAAAAGTAGAAAGTGAATAGTGAAGTGTGAAAAGTAAAAATATAAAAAACAATGCCAAAGCGTAAGAAAGAATTTTTGCGGTCTCGAACCATATCTGAAAGGCAAAAGATGTCCTTGAGAAATGAAACCACGGAAGAAAGAGAAGTACGTCTAACATTGCTACGAGAAAATTATCAACGAAACAGAAATAATCAAACAAGAGCAATTTGAAAATTATAGGGAAACGCATCGAATCAGAGGAAGATTGTTTCTCTTCCTCTACATAGTCTTTTATATATAAAAAAAACTATACTACATATAAATGTACGAACAAATAAAAACCCAGCGAAGCGGGTACTCGCAGCTAGCTTCATCAAGTATTTAATGAAAGCCAAAGTATTTATCACACGCTATAGCGGAAGTAAGCGAATCCCCTAAAGTAAACAAGCCTCCTGCAAAACCCAAGAACGTAAAATCGCATGAAAAACAAAAAAAAAAAAAATTAAATCTGCACCGTCACACCCCAGATATCTGTCATGGTAGAGACTGCAATTAGTAATCTGAAAGAGAGACGTGGATCGTCACTTCCCGCTATCAAATTATATATTGCTGACAATTTCAAAGTTGACACGGTCCGTTTGACTCCTTTTATCAAGAAATATTTGATAAATTCGTAAAAGCCTATTATTTTCGAGCCGTTTTAACATCCCTCCCTCTCCGTTGGCTGTAATGACGGGCACTCGCGTGGTATTGGGGGTGTGCCTGATGGCACTCGTGCAGTTTAGGGGTACGGCCGTTTGAAAGGTTTTCTACGTAGAATTAATCGATTGTAGACTAATTTGACTCGAATATTTCTAAAATACACAATGTTTTGGGAATAACCCATATAAAATATATGTACTATACGTGCTCGATGGGCACTCGTGCACTTTAGGGGGTGCGGCGGTTTGAAAGGTTTTCTACGTAAAATTAATCGATTGTAGACTAATTTGGCTCAACATTTCCAAAACACGTGTAATTTTTTGGGAATAATCCGTATAAACTACGCTATAAACAAAAAAATGTCGGAATATTTACCGAGTGTACTCCGTTCGAAGACGCCATTGCTTAAGCTTGTTTTCGTCGCGGAGCGGCACAGTCGATGCTATTCGGTGGCGTGAGTACTCATCTCCGACGTGTTTCCCGATAACTTATTCTCTTTGCTGAACTTTGGAGACAGCACGTGATAGATCATAATATAGTATTTTTATTGTAATTAGAAACGACTTACTATTATTATTGACTACTAGCTGCCAGTACCCGCTTCGCCGGATTTTTTATTTGCTCGTACATTTATATGTAATATAGTTTTATATATATATATAAAAGACTGTTTCTCTTCCTCTANTAATATCATCAAGGAAAAGAAATTGCACATCATGACAAATAATTGTGGTATATTGAATGAAGAACACAACATTTACATAAACGAACACTTGTCATCTTATAACAGAAATTTCTTCTATAGAACTAGACCGTTGAAAAAGCAAAGAAAAATAATAAATACAGTGACTAGTAGAGGTAATATATATATATAAAAGACTGTTTCTCTTCCTCTACATAAACTTTCTGTGATTCGATGCGTTTCCCTATAATTTTCAAGTTGCTCTTCCGTCTGATTATTTCTGTTTCGATATGATTCGAGACCGCAAAAATTCTCTTCACTTTTTACTTTCTACTTTTTTCTGTTATTCGTACACTTCCACTTATGAAAAATCAACCGAAGCGTGTGCGTCACACGTCTCCAAAAGCCATCTCCACTAATCACACATAACGGTCCTCGACTATTCGAAAACATTTAAGATTAAGATTACATTACAGCCAATCTTACCCGTATTTGCGGAATGCAGGAATTAGGTCTCTGTTTCCAGACTAGAGAATTTTTACATGGATCTAAAAATGTTCGATTTCCCGCAAAAAACTGCATCTGCGCCTGTAAATCTTGCACGCCGCTTTCTCTTAGCACTTCCTTTGTTACTCAACACTTTCATTGTTGCGCATTTTCGAAGTCAACTTTCAACCTCCGTATCTCCCGCACCCTTACAGCTATCGAGACGCAACCACCATAGCGCACGATGGGAGACTGGGGGCTACTACCGCACAAACACCATTCGTGCGCGATGTGTAGTTTTGGCTGCAGAGTGAAATATAGGGACAAACACGTCCATTTATATATATGTAGATATAGATATACAGATATATATTTGAAACGTTACGGATAAGTACACCAAACTCTCAATTATTTATGGTAATTACTGCACGGTGTGCACGGAAAATCGGAAAACGTGTCATCCAAAATAGCCCTCTAAACTATAAAAAAACTATTCAGAGGTTTTAAATGAACTATAGTATATATACAGCTCTCAACTTTACTATAACTCAATGCAAATGCTAGTCCCGAGTTTCATACGCTGTTTATTTAGTCAATAAACGTAAAATATATTTCTTTTATTTTCAAAATTATCTGTAGAAATTTAAATTCTACATTTCTGTGTATAATTCTTACATTGTTTCCAAATTACTTTATTATAATTTTAGGACTAGCAGGATATTTTTTTTTCAAATTGGCTGCTTCCGGCATATAAGTGTGATTTTTTTCCACAAAAATATAACTTTCTAAAGTTGTTTTGTAACTTGAGGTCAGTTCCCGCGGACGATTTTGATCGTTTCTCGGAAAGGCAGCCGAGCTAGAAAGCCTATTGCGTATACAACTTCCCATTCGTTTCACCGTTGGCGGACAAGAGGGACAAAATATTTTGACGCTGCACGGATAATCAGAAGTTCGTTGTAGATTAAACGCTACAAAATTGAAGTCCGAAGTCATTTTTGATAAACGAAATACCAACCGAACTTAATTTATCGAAATTCGACGCGCGTGCATACGGTGATGGATTATTGCATAGACGTACGAAGCGTATTTTTTTATTTTATTTTAAAAGTAATTCGTACAAATATTTAATTTAAAAATTGAAAATGTCGCGGTAATTACCGTATTACCGTGTTAGACCCGTACGAGAGGGTATCAAAAAGTTATTCGTATTTGAAAAAAACATTTTACCCGGACGAAACTTGCCGATTGGATCGGAGAAAATTAGTCTCCTCGTATATAGTTATTGCGCGGATTTACGCATTTCTCCCATTTACGCTTCACTCGGGAAAAACCCGTTATGGCCGGTAGGAAAACCATTCCTTCGCCGCAGAAGTCACTTCCGCATCGCTGTAGAATCGTTGCCGGTAAAGCGGGGTATTTGCCGGACGGAAGAGGAAGAAGTGACTGGGAACGAGTCGGAGGGATAGGTGGACGTGGAAGAAATATCCATTTATTCGATAAAAACAAACTGGACTAACACGGATAAAGCAAAAACGAAAAAATACAACATAGTCAAACCTCGGGGTTGAACATAATTTTGAATTCCTGCTTGGCCCCGGTTGCGGTACGATAACTCTGTTGCCGAACGAGCTACTTACAGTACCGTATTTAGTAGTCGGTATACTAAGTAGCCAGTTAAAAATAATAAAATAATAATCGAAACTCCGGTCTTTACACCGAAACTAAAACTAAACTTAAAAATGAAATCTCAATTAATTAATTAATTAAAAGTAAAATAAGAAATTGACGGAAAATTGATGGTATTTTTTAACTACGATTTTAAGGTTCTGAAGACGACGGCGCAGGCCATGATCGACGTCAACAACGGTAAAAACTTAGTGGGCTCGGCCATGGCCGGAAGCATCGGAGGTTTTAACGCTCAGGCTTCTAACATCGTCACCGCAGTTTACATCGCCACGGGTCAGGTGAGTGGCGCAACCGATAAACGGACTCGACTGGGAGTAACGCCATTAAAATATATCCCGGCTTAAATACGTTTAGGGGTGACGGAGACGCCGTTTCGGTAGTTAACGCTAGCGTTAGAGATTGCGCCAATCGAGACCTACGGTACAGTTACCATTAGGATACTTTTATGACGTTTTTTCGTTGTCGGTTCCACGGACAAAATATTTTGACGCTGCGCGGATAATCGGAAGTTCGTCGTAGATTAAACGCTACAAAATTAAAGTCCAAATCCTTCTCAATTTAACCGGAAGCAGACCTGGAGTGAGGACGAAACCGGGTAGATTTTACTACAACTTACAGCGAGGGTAAACGAAATCGAGCGTGGACACGCGCAGTAAATGGATCCAACGGAACATAACACTTTGGTAACGAAAGTGAAGTGTGTTAATTTGCACGCGTGAAAATTTGATTGGACGGACAAAAGTTGTAGCGTAAGCGTTCGACCACCACGGTGGAGCGAACGCGTCCAACGAATAGCCCGTCACGGGCGGGGCGCTATGGTAGCCTATAGGGGAGTCCGTGGTTCCCACCGGCCGAAAAATTAATCGTAAAATAATTTCAAAGTTTGGTTTCCTTAACAGCCAGGAAAAAATAAAAGTGTTGGAGATTCCCCGGTTTAAGAAATCGGAAGGAATCTGGTGGTTAGGTGAATATTTCGAAAAACTCTTTAATACCGTCGAAAGAATTAGAGGGAGTTAAATAAAGGTCTCGTAACGTAATAATTTTATTTACCCGGGTAACGCAATTAGGCGAGTTACGGGTTAACGTTTTCCTTTAGGCGTTCCGAAATAAGAACCGTAATCCTTAAATTACCCGGAAAACATCGGGTGGTTTTTACGTTTATCGTTTATGGACGGAAGGTGGATGTCTTTCAGGATCCGGCGCAGAACGTGGGAAGTTCCAATTGTATAACGCTGATGGAATGTCGCGGACCCGAGGGGGAGAATCTACACGTCAGCTGCACCATGCCGTCGATCGAGATCGGGACGGTGGGCGGCGGAACCAATTTACCGCCGCAGGCCTCCTGCCTGTCGGTAAGTCTTTTTCTCTACGTTTCTACCGGCAATTCGGTCGAAATATCTCGGCTTTCCTACCCGACACCGCGGTTTTCTTTTTAAATAACGTATACTAAAAAGCAATTTAGTAATTATCTCGATAGCCGGTCGGTCGAAATAATTATTAAATTAACGTTTTAAGAGGCGAGAAGCCGACAATATATAAAGAAACGATATCGGAACCCGCCAGCTGGAAATCGTCGGACGAAGATTGTTCGATTAGTAAACCCGTTTAATGTATTAAACGAGTAGAGCGCGTTAATTCCGCGGGTACCGAAGAAGCCGGCGGTTTCCCACGGTCACCCGTCGTCGATATTAAAATTTTAAACCGGAGCGGGCGAGAAAGGGGGAAATTCGTCGGGTGACGCCGGAAATAAAACGAAGAGAACTTTAACGGAAGAAAGGAGGAGGAGAGGGATTTCCGGCAAAGGCGTTAATCGCGGACTGGTTTTTATTGCAGCTTCTGGGCGTCCGGGGTCCCTGCCGGGAAAATCCCGGAGAAAACGCGGCGGTTCTGGCTCGCATCGTCTGCGCCACCGTCCTGGCCGGAGAACTCTCCCTGGTGTCGGCACTGGGCGCCGGACACCTGGTCAAGTCGCACCTGACCTACAACAGGTGAGTCCCTCCTTCGTCTTCTCCTCCCTCGATTGATTTAACCTCCGGTTTCTCATTTCAGGCCCCCCACCGGAAAAGAAAAGCGGCCAGAGTGCGGCGGGAAAGAAGTCTCGGCGTGAACCGCGGCCATTGGGTGCTTTTTCCTTCCCGCACCATCGCGCGCCGGGACTCGGCACGCGTTTGGTTTAAGAGGAGGACGACGTTCGGAACACCGTTACCGATTTACCGGACAAAAGTGTAGAATTTTATGCCGCCTTTCCGGTACTCCGGCGGGAAATTTTAATCTCCCGGCCGTATGTTTTTTAACCGTGCGATTAAAATCGCGTTTATTTTATTTTTTTACCGGTTCAGTTTTTTACCATTCCAATAAAACTGGTCAAACCACCTCCGCTCCGATCTTCCCCGTCCTTTTCCTTTCATTTCGCCCATCGGCCGTTTTCCGCTTTTCCCACGGCGGGAGAAAGACTCCGTCCGACCGAAACTCCCGATGGACCCGAAATTCTCCCTAAAACTAACCGGACGCGGCGCGTATTAAAAAATATTCGTCTCTGCCTTCCGCGGAAAAGGCGGCGACTTTCGGAAATCGGTATCCGGGCGGCAAACTTTGCCTTTCTCCCTAAATTTTCCGCCTTTTGCCGTTTTCCCCTAAATTTAGGGGCAAACCGTTCTTCGGCGCAACCATAGTATTAAACCGGAGCGGCGGCGCTCTTCCGGCTCGAAGCCGCTTGGCCGAATTACCGGGGAGAAAATTCTCTTCTTTCGAATTCGAGGCGAGAAAAGACAGAGAACGACGTAGAAACGACGAGGAAGACGTTGGATTAGACTGATTTATCGTAGGCATGTCCTAATAATACGTTTAATGCAGTTTATTTTAACTCTCACATTAGCGCTAAGAGCCCTCTTTTTAGCCACCTTATTATGGGTTCGGCCAGGTCGAGTGGTGAGGGACGGGACTCGACACATCCGGACGGACCACTTCCGAAAAATTTCTGAGGATATTTCGACCCGTTCGAATTCGAACCCGGGTCCCCAGAGAGGTGGGCTGCCACCTCGACCGCTCCCGCTCGGCCATCCGGCCGTCTTTGGAAAACGGAGAAGCGGGACAAAAAGACGGCGAAAGGGCAGGAATAAAAATCTTTTAATGCGACAAATTAACAAAAATAAGTTTTAATTTTTATACCGTACACAATATATACGTATTTTTTCCAAAGTTAAATTTCGTAACCGCGTAAAAAATCGACCGTTGTCACCGAACGGCCGAACCTAATTAATAAACGACTGTAGTCCGTTTACGAGTAATTTGTGGTAATTATACGAAGTTGTGGGATGGCGGCATTTCCCGATAATAGAGGGTCCCCGGTCCAGCTCTATCTCGCGTTTCTGGGATTACTCCGGCTTTTCTGGGTTTCTATGTAATCCATCCAAATAATAATTATTTTATTCGACGAGGAACGCGACTATAACAAAATATATTTATTCGCCATTAGAATCGAGCCTCTATCGGGAGTACTTTTTCGCGCTCTATCCGATTTTCCTACCTTACGTCGCCTTACGCGGATCTCGACTTACCCTTATTAAAAATCTCCATCTCTTTTGATCCCGCCTGATTCGGCCCAACTATATCCTACTAAAAAATATCCTCCAAACCATCCTTTCCCGGGATATTTTTCGAATGTGCCTTTTACTTTCCCCGCTGTTACGTATACCGGGAAAGTATTGTAATTTCCTCCGTTTTTACTCCGGCAGTTTTTTCCAAATTTTGCGCGCCCGTGTTCGGCCTCTGTTTCCTTCGATATTTCCGCGCGGGTTATTGATTAAGTAACGAAATTTAGCACGGTGGTTGCTCGTATATAAGTGAGATCGATTCTATCAAGGTTTGGTAGTTAAAGGTCGGGAACTGGATCTAAAAGTGGGGGGATGGTGGGTCGTATGTCGAGTAGGGTCTCAGGACTTAACGAAGATTTTACTGGTTATTAACATTTACAATTTTTTATACAATTCGTTTCTACCCTCAAAATAAAGCCTTTAGCCATTTTATAATAAATAAAAATATCAAAAGTTTTTAAATAAAATCTCATAAATAACTGCGCCACACAAATTTATGTTTAAAAATATTTAATTTTAAAAATCTCGTAACAGCCGGGAAAGTTAAGTGACTCGTTGCGGGACTTTTTACCGGGTTATTTAACAACTGGTACAGATATAAAACTGTAACGTATAGCGGAGTCGATCTTACTACGACGACCGACTCGTTCTTAGAGAATCGTAGTTCGTGGCAGAAGACGGAATACGGCCACGCCTCGTTTTAATAACCCAATTTTTAACTCGACCGCGCCAAAGCGTACAAATCACTCCCAGCCGAAGATTTCGGTAAAGAGTTCTTCGGAACCTACCTTTTCGGCACGAGAAATTCAAGCGCATTAATTAAAGACAAACCGTAGACACTGGTGGCCGTGTGGTCGTATCGTCGTACCGACTTAAAATGTACGTTTCGCGAAACTTTCAACGACCGTGGCGCGGAGTGGCTTCCCAGCGCCGTGCGCTAATTTTTCCTCGGTAATTGTGGAATTTGTTTCGTTTTGTTTTTGAATTTACTTACGCCCGTCGGGCCAACCGTTCGAAGTTTACGCTTTCCTCCGGTGAATGTCTGGCGTATCGGGTGACGTTATAACAGAACGGAAATGTCACCCGATCTCAAACACGGCGCTGGAAAAAAATGCACACGGGCAACGCGTACTGTACGTCCGGGACTCCAATACGTCACACGTAAGTTGCCTATGCATAACGAGGGAAAGTATTGGAATTGTGTCAGATTTGATCCTCCGAATCTTTTGCAAATCTCCACGTTTTCAGACCTAAATCCAAAAAAATCGACAAAAAAAATTCGGTGCGTGTTGGCGTATCTTCTAATATCGCGGGATGAAGCGAAGATAAAGAAACGAAATTTGGCACGGCACCACATGTGTAAGGGCCATCGATCCCATTACATTCTGGCTAAAGGTTCGGGGGATGGGGAGATAGAGGGGTGTCGTGTCGTATCTCTAGAGGGGTCGAACTCCATGAAGATTTTGCTCTTTATTAGCATTTACAAATTTTTATAAAACCCCTACCCGCAAAATTAAGCTTTTTGTCATTTTGTATTAATTAAAAATATAAAACATTTTTATAACAAACTCTCCGAACAGATGCTTAGGGTTTCTCATTTCCCGGTCTTTCGCTTGTCTCGGAATTCCGGGATAAACTTAATTATTTTTAAGATATACAGAATATTAATTCTTTTGAAAACAAAGTCCTTTCCAAAAAATAGGAACCACCATTTATTAACTTTGTGTTCCAGATCTTACACTTATGGCGACTGACCTTTTCTTTTAGGCTAATGGCCGCCAAACAGTCCTTTAAAAAAACACAAAAATATCCAATTAAAAATATAAACATTTAAAAAAAACAGGAATTGGTGATGTTCGGACGTCTTCTATTTTCCATCATAACTTCTTGACGAAAATTTACAAAAAGAATTTTCAAGTATCGTCACCAGTGGCCAGCTTTCCTCGTCTACATTTTACCAGCGCTTATTTCGCTGTAGATAAAAGCCGAAACAACCCCAAGAAGTTATGATGGAAAATAGAAAACGTCCGAACATCACCAATTCCTGTTTTTTAAAAATATATTTTTAATTGGATATTTTTGTGTTTTTTTAAAGGACGGTTTGGCGGCCAGTAGCCTAAAAGAAAAGGTCAGTCGCCAAAAGTGTAAGGTCTGGAATACAAAATTAATAAATGGTGGTTCCTATTTTTTTGGAAAGGACTTTGTCTTCAAAAGAATTAATCATAATTATCTCCATCGGACGAAAATTTACAAAAATATACAGAATATCTTGAAATCAAATGATATACAGTAGAGCGTCCTTTATCCGAATCAATTGGGGACTGGGGTTCGGATAACCAATTGTTTAAAAATTACCTTTGAATTACGTAGAAATTTTCACAAATGTAAAATGTTTATGAAAGTTTGCTGGAAACTGCAAACAACAACAACAACAAATGCTTTGAAAAAAAAACAGATCAAACTTCTAACTTAAAGGGTAATTTTCGTTTTCTTTTCTTTTTTAATAAAACATAATACAAAATATTGTAAATTTTTATAATAGGATTTTAAAAAGCGAAGATGGACAATACTCCGATCACTCGATCCGGTTCTTATTTAACTAACGAAAAGTTTTGCTGCCGAAAATGCCCTTTCCGATTCGATCGATGTTAGTGGAATGGTCTTTAATGCATTTAAGAGACGACGGACGTTACGTGTTTTTTCACCCGTAGCCCGGAAGATTTCTAGTTCGTTTTCGAGATCGTAATACTTCTTTCGCTCTCCAGTATTCTCGATTTGTCTACCGCGGCCGCTTTAATAGAAACATCGAACTTACGGCCCGATAATTCGGCGGTTCGTTCGTCTTTAATAATCGGGTTTACGAAGAAAAATTTCGTATTCGCGGACTTCGTACTCGTTCGTATCCCGGGCCAATTTGCGCGACCCGGCGTTACGCGGTTATCGAAGCTACCGGGCGTGGCTAAAAATTAAGAAGGCGTAAATACAATTATTCCAGATATTACGGGTTTCGACGAGTAAAGAATTTTCGGAGTCCCGCCACAAATTGGCTACGTACCGATTATCGACCATTTCTGACGCGCCGTAACGAGAAAAATTTAAAAAACTAATAAGTAGATTTAAAATTAATAAATACAAATGTAATCCGACAGTTTGTGAGTTAATTATACTTTCTATTTGCAAAATTTCCTCGATCTTAACACAAAGTAAGAAAAAAGTGAATTTTAAAGAAATTTTCGGGATTTTCCGGGTTAAAGAACAACCGAGATATCGTTTGAGAAATCCTAGTGTCACAAACTATTTATTACGATTAATAGTATTTTTTAATAGTATCTCGTATCAGCCGGGAAAGTTATACAATTCGTTTGCTAGATATTTTTTACTTATAGAATATGTAATGTTTTGGCCGAGATAAGTTAATTTTGTGGCATTGTAAAAAATTGTCGGGAATGAAAAATTTCGATCGTACAAGATTTAATATCGAAAAATTCTTGCCACGTATAAATGTTTTTGTCCAAAAGCCTACCGAGACCAATAATTTACTTTAAAAGTTAGGTTTTAATAAGTAATTTCTTTTCACCATTCTTCTGTATTTATGAAATAAAAGTAAAGATGAAAATTTACACACACTCTTCGGTGCGTTTTGAGTTACGAGTAGTGTGTGGCGTCTGTTAAATAAAATCGTTTTCCTTAATTATAAAATTTATTTCTTATTGTTAATTTTAAAGCTTTTTTAATGCGCGTAGAGACGAGTAACACGCCGAGCTTTCGAGTTAATTCAAAATA